AACAGTGCGAAGTCTAATATCGAGAAGCAGAACACAATTTTTCGAAAACTAGCAGATAGCATGAGAAATACAAATGATGCGCCAGCTTAACAGTCAATTCATCCAGACAACTAACTATATCTCGCGAAGGATGATCGAGTGCTAATTGAGCGATGGTATTTCTTTGAGATGACTTCAAAACATTCGTACAAAGCTTGTTAACCTGAAGTTAAAAACCAAATACCTGAAATTTCAAACTTGTTTCAAAAATCGGATCTTAATCCAAAAAAAATCCTGTGGACCAAGCTTGCATAAGCATATACTTTCCACCTCAAAGTATGACATACCTTCTCAGACAATCGCTGGGGGCAGGCGGGTACCGGAAAAATAGATTGCTGATTTCTCGCACCCCGCTCGCGGATTTTTTGCAAAGCAATCAGGACTTTTTGGAAGACCGCTTGCTGAGACAGCGGATTTTTGAGAGACCGCCTGTTGAATTTTTTTTCGCTCTTATCTTTTGCAGATATATTGCTGAATCTCTGAGGAATCGAGAACTCAGCAAGCGGTCTACCGAAAAGTCCTGATTGCTTTCCAAAAAATCCGCGAGCGGGGTGCGAGAGATCAGCAATCTATTTTTCCGGTGCCCGCCTGCCCCCGGCGATTGTCTGAGTTGCTCTATTTTTTATGGCTAGAATTCGAGAAAACAAAATTGCCAGGGTTTCGTCAAAGCAATGCTGAGTTGTTACCAAATAGTGTAGTGAGTCCTATTACCAACGCCCCAGTTTCCAAAAATATCGAAGTTGGCATGAAAAATCAGAAAAAAAGCGACTTTCATTACAGTTTTGGCTTATTTTTATGTATTCAGTTTCTAACCACAGAATACAGCAAGTGACATATTAATGGCTAATTTGGGGGCGAGGGGGGGGGAGGGAGGTATATGCTTAAGCTATGTAGGAAGTCAAGTTCTCGACGGAATTCAATTTTGGGGCATTTACAAAATTCCAGATTGGTTCTAACTTCAGGTGGAACAGTATCTGTGCATCTGGAAGCTGTCGTGTCAATCTTGCATCCTTCTACCGGACAACAACTCGATCCCTAATTGCAAAGTTGAAATTAGAGGATATAGCCAAACCGAAAACTTATGAGACAGCCTAATACTTCACTTACCAGATGCGAGCAACGCAAAAAGCACAGCTATCAGCTTCATGCTAGAACTCCAGTACATAAACTAGTCTGAGAAATTTGTACGACTTTTTTATACGATTTAATGGCAGTGGCACTTTGATGCTTGTCGATTTGCCATAACAACGATGGAAATCTTTTTTCGACAAGCTCATGGAAATTCTGTAAAAATCGTAAGTCCCCGCTTTTTACGAAGGCAAAATGGTTGTGTTTTCAAAACATTTTACGTAGTTTTTCTTACTTCTAGTTATGACTTATTAGGTTTAACTCTTATCTTTGTACGAATTCCTTTTACGTAAGATATTACGTCTTTGTTGGATATCTAGAGAAATTTTATCTGGGAAAATTCACAAAAATAATAGATCTAGAGCACAATGCTCACGTGAACATGCCTTTCAAGGCAAAGAGTGAATACAGAACAATTCAAAAGCTGAAGTCGTATGCTCAGAAACTTCTTGAGAATTCAAAAACGTGTGTCGGAAGTGCATCAACTAACATTGAGCCAACATATTCTCCCAAAGTTCTTGGCTAAGAAAATTTCCACAGAAGCCACTTTCACTTGAATACCCTTTCTTTCTTGTAAAAAATCGTAAAATTTGAATTGAAAAAGCCTCAAAACAGATCTTACCAGTCTCATTAGTCGCAAGTTTTGTTGTTTTTTCTCTAAAAGACCAGCAAGTTGCAAGGAATAATCAGCGATGGACAAGCTTGTTAGCGTTTGATGCGGCTTTTTCTATTCTTTCAAACAGCTAGATTGGGTGAGCATGAAGTGCAAGCATTGTTAATAATCACTGAAATATTAACATTTCATTTCCTAGTGCAAATTTGACTCTTTCCAAAAAACTGTAGCATAAATGGCGAGCTTCAAATGACCAAATGTTGGTTCATATAATACACTTAGCAATTTCTTTGAGTGACATTTTTGCAAATTCAAAATTATTAGGTCGTACCGAAAGTTCTGTCGTTTCATTTTTGAAAAATCATAACTTTGCGCTGTCACAACGGATTTACCACCTTATATTTTTATTAGAAAGAGTAAATCTTTCGCTTTCGAATGCTGTTTTGCGGAGTCGCGATTCACACTGGGTGCGGAGATAAAAATGGAAAACTAAGACCACATAAACTTTGACCATTTTAAGTTAGCTCACCAAAAATCTGGAATGCCGCAGAAAAATCTGAAATCGATTACATATGTTTTTTGGCCTACCCTTGCATCTGCGAAAAGTTTGTGCTGTTTGGACGCCTCTGTGAGAAGTTATGATTTTCGCTAAAATTGAACTGATTAATTTTGGTGTTTTCCATAGTAAACTCGATATTCATAACTTCTCACAGAGACGTCCAAACGACACAAACTTTTCACAGATGCAAGGGTGGGCCAAAAAACATAGGTACTGACGATTTCAGATTTTTCTGCAGCATTCCAGATTTTTGGTGAGCTAACTCAAAATGGTTAAAGCTTATATGGTCTTAGTTTTCCATTTTTCTCTCCGCACCCAGTGTGAAGCGCAAGCTACGCAAAACAGCATTCGAAAGCGAAGGATTTACTCTTTCTAATAAAAATGTTAGGAAGTAAATCCGTTGTGACAACGCAAAGTTATGATTTTTCAAAAATGAAACGACAGAACTTTCGGTACGACCCAATATTTTTGCAAAAATCCCATTTATCGACGTGCTTAGCCCCACAATTAATCTATTAGGTCATAAATTTACGTAGAGATGTCGAAAATTCACAGTTATCGAGGCAGGAAAAGTGGAAATTTTTGATCTAAATCATGCAGCTTGAGACTTAATTTATTTTGCACTTTTTTTGAAAAGCTAAATTTTGCGATGACAGTTACAGTTACAGGGACTACGCAAAAATGAGGTGCCGTAATTTTTTTGATTATTTCAATTTTATACGACACTAGCTGGCATACCCGGCTCCGCCGTATGTTCCGAATAGAAAATTCCATTTCTTAACCGATCCGAACCAAACTTGGCACACATACACTTCGGGCCCCGGCGGGTGTCACAGTCCACTCTTCGTTATCGATTGATGTCGATTTTATCGATTTTTTGCAAAATTTGAGCTAGGGGCTGGGATTTGGCACAGGGGGGTAATCGAGCATGCTGATTACGAATACGATATTAGTTTTCGAAACCGTGCATTACTTCTATCGATTTTATCGATTTTTTGCAAAATTTGAGCTAGGGGGCTGGGATTTGGCACAGGGGGGGGGGTAATCGAGCATGCTGATTACGAATACAATATTAGTTTTCAAAACCGTGCACTACTTTTATCGATTTTATCGATTTTTTGCAAATTTGAGCTAGGGGGCTGGAATTTGGCAGAGGGGTGTAATCGAGCATGCTGATCACCCCCACGGGGGTGATCAGCATGCTCGATTACCCCCCTGTGCCAAATCCCAGCCCCGTAGCTCAAACTTTGCAAAAAAATCGATAAAATCGACATCAATCGATAACGAAAAGTAGCCTATGACACCCGCCGGGGCCCGAAGTGTATGTGTGCCAAGTTTGGTCCGGATCGGTTCAGAAATGGAATTTTATATTCGGAACATACGTACAGACAGACAGACAGACATACATACAGACATACATACAGACATACAAACAGACATTCAGCTTTATATATAAGATATCGCTTTAGAAACGTAACTTTTGAAAAATGAGGACAAGACGCACCGAACGCGGTTATGCTTGCCCATCGGTGATTATCCCCTAAACGCTGGTCTTCTAAAACAATCGACAACTCTTTTGGGACAACCTAGGCCCGAACTCAAGCCAAAAGGAAGAGCCCATGAAAACGTACACACTATTTAGTGTTATAGATGAATAATTCATTGTAGAGTTTTGTTGCAAATCACCTATCCAATCGACAAATAATTTTAGTAATCGCCTCAGCCATAATACGGCTATAAATCTCAGAAGTTTTGTAAAACTCTCCTCTTCAAAAACTTTTTGAAGTGATTTGTTTCTTCTAAAGAGTTAGACCGGAATTGAAGGCACCAATCATTATAGAGATGTTCATGGGATAAAAACTTTTGAATGGAAATTCTTCAGTCCATTTATTTCACACAAGTGCCAAGTTCGCTAGCTAAAGTTGTATATATCATCCAGGGCGTGAAAAATATTATTCTGTTTCTTGATTAATAGAAGGCTTTGAAGTCCTACAATATCTTCTTTGAAAATCACTGAACGGATTTTGCTCAGGAACTTGTGATTTTTTTGTGGAGAATTGTTTCTGCTTTTTTGACCAGTATAACGTTTCTGATCCAATCTTTTGAAATTTCAGAATGATCAGGTCACAGGAATGTTATGAAAGTTTTCTGTGGCATGACGAATCTTATCGTCGAGACAGTCCAAATAAGCTTCAATGGAGTACACCATGGAAGCCCTTGTAATGGAACTTGTTTTGTATAGGGTGATAAAAAATCGCTTATTTTTGAGTATCCAAACTATCGGTCAATCAGAGCATTCAGAACATGCTTCCGGCAGTGATATCAACAATTTCGAAATATTTAACGAAAATATATGTATTTGTAAGCAATCGCAATCCTTGTAAACAACTCTGCAGTGCATGGTAAAATTCAATTCTAACTGTGATCTCTCATAAATCATGCAGGTTTTAAGACAACCCATTATTGAAACCAGATGGTTCGATCAGACGATCATGTTTTGTTTTTACGTCATAAGACCAGTTTGAGGTGCATGAATTGTTAGCAAGTTTCTAACTATTAATAACTTTTTTGAGACCATATGGAGTCAAAAAAATACACTTCAGCTCAAAAATCCGATGTTATATCCCAAAAACTTCAATAACAACAAAACATTTATTGAACGTTTTCTACAATCTGCTTTATTCCTTCTCGCGAAGGCACACATTCATAGCGGCTTGCTGACTAATGTCTGATATCGCTTTCTGAAAGGAAAAAAATTACATCCAGGTATGCAGCAAATGATTATCTGAACGTTTGCACTTACTACAGATCTATAACTTCAAGACTTTTGGAAGCTTTCGCAGATGTTATTAAAAGACACTGACCCATGTTTCCCTAGTTATCTCTTGTTTTGTGGAGTCCACAATATAGACCTTTTGATCCGTCTCTGGCCACGCTTTCGTATTTGTAGTCTTTGAAGCAAAGACAAAGACTTTGTTCACATTCCATGCGCTTCTCTCCTGGAAAGAATATTTTGAAACCTCAAACTCCTCCAAATTTGCATAGAAAATCACAAAGCACAGGATGCGCTCACAAATTTTAAGTGTTTTCGGACAGATCATGACTATTTACCTCCTTCAATTTCTTTTCCACGTCCTTATATTCTTCACCGGTCATTAAGATCAAAATCCTTCGGTGTGGTGGCGCACGTTGCTAAATTTGGTTTGCGAGATAATGTTAAGTACTTCTAGCTAAACTAACGAAGTAAGAAGCATCAAAATACACATTTGGGAAATTGTATCCGTTCCCAACACACTGCAAAGCTTCTTTTTTGATCACATCCCTCCTGAGATAAGTCCAAATTCCCTATGCTCTAGTAATATTTTAAAGGCACGAACCAATAGTCGAAATTTTTTCCGTCTTTCGCTAAAGCGTAGCGTTTATATTGAGTCCGCTTGCAACTACCATAAAAGATGGTTGTAATATAAGACTCCGTCATAATGAATGGAGACATGATTTGTGGAACGATTTTCAAGAAGGCCTGTATAAAAGTTAATGAACGTAAATGTGACAGTTATGAGTTACTTGACTCACAGTGGACAACTCGGCGTTTTTGAGGTGAACGACTATGACAACAGCATGCCACGCTTCCAATTCACATTCTACACAAAGCTCACCCTTGAAATTATATTTAAAATTATACAAAAGTGATAGCGATTTTATAGATACTTCAACTCTTCGATTAGCTATTAGCGTCTAATTTAGTACTGAATAAGCTACTATACTGCACCCACAGCTTCACGATCTATCGTTTTATCGAAACGCGTTTGTTTCCCATAGTCATTCCCAGCAACATTGCAAACGCATCTATTATTTTTCTTGTCATAAGTGGCCGCAAAGTGACATCTCAAACTGGGATCACTCCGCGGCGGTGCTGTTCCTGTGATAAAGATATTTGTCAAGTTCATGCTATTGATGCTTATATTTGACAAAAAGGCTAAAAAATGTCAAATCACAAACCATAAGTGCAAAGGGTAAAGTGACGTGCAGTAGCTGGAATGTCAACAGAACCTTTTTCTTTTGCAAATCCTAGTGCAATGCGTGGTGTATCAGAACAAGCTCGATTCGGATGATCCGGAGCCCAGTGACTATCACTTATGGAAGTCTTAAGTTCCATTTTTACCGAATGTCAGCTCAAGTGATACAGCAAATCTTGCCATCACCTCTTGGCTAGCTCCGTTGGGTAGATCAAATTTGAAATCTGATCGCGCACCAACGCGCACTTGTTTCGGTTTACACTCACTTGAACTATCTATTGGATTTCGAAATCGCCTTCCAGGAACCGATACTATGTTCACATTCTCCTTAAATACCGTTATCAGCACCTTGAAGAGACAGAATGATGAGAGTTTTGAAGCAACAAGACTGGAAATTGTGAATGAGTGATGCAAAAACATATAAATGAGGATGTTGATGGTGATGTGATTCTATGCTCTCTCTTACGTATAATCTTAGTGCAATGAATTGTGCAAAAGATGGATTTTGGAGACTCATTAATTTCGTGTTTTTCTCACATGCAACTCATAAAAAGTTGACAACTAACTTCTTCGAGGATTTTTTTGAAATCTTCGACATTTCTGAAGTCAAGTGGTGACGCAGCATAACCATTTAAAAATGCCTAGAACGGTCAAATCAGTCAACACAACTACCATGGTTGACTCAATTTCAATTACCGAACATCCTTTGTGAAGACGTTTCGTGCCAACCGCAAACTTTCCCTTCTCTCCCTTCTCCTCAGACATATCAAACGAGGAATATTCTCGCAATATAAAGAAGGGACGATCGTTATTACGTTTGTCTTTTTTTATGTACGATTTGAGGCCAAGTTCACTGAACTTTTCCATCAGAGCTGGAACGTCTGAAAGAAGAAACCACTATTTGCCGCAAACAGATTGAGAGTATTATTGTCCTTCAAGACTTTTGTCTAGTTCAGTTTGTGGTATGGTGAAGGAGATGGTCATCTGATACTTGAAACTTTGAAGTTTAATCTATTAAATTACTGAATCTATTGATGCTGTTGGTAATATAAGCTAGCGTTGACTTTTTCGCTGACTCCGTTGCTCCAAGAATCACTTAGAACTGTTCGGCGAGCAGAACATTTTGAGCATAAGCAACATAGCGACAGGTGCAAGCAACAGGTGCGTGAACTTTATGTCAGTGAGTCAATTACCAATGAGAAAGCAAATCTACCAGATCACTCATGATTTTTCGAACACAGACAAACCGCCACAGAGAATGACTAGCAGGAATCTTTGATCTGCAATCGGGCCAGAACGTGAACCCTAACTAAGATCAGGCAAAGCGGTCTTTCTGCTTGTTTTGCTTGCCGCAAATCTTATTCCGACGAGTCGTCCCTGTGCTATCAATCGCCTATTGAGCTCAAAGGCATTTTTCATCCATGATGTAGAATTCCGATGCTACATAGTAATAAGCCCCTCATTAGACAAATGCCCAAATCGCGATGGAGAAGACTGCCTACCCATTCATCAAGACTTGCCCACCGAAGCGTTCTGACATGGCAAGCGTAATCAAAAAGCTTCGTGTCCAGGCTGTCTCAGTGTTATTGTCATGCTCCTGGCTAGCCCTCTCGCGACCGCCTCGCTCGGGCGCTGCTGGGCGTAAGAAAGTGCCCAGAGGGTACATACCTGGACCCGGCGTAATATCTGAGCGAGCTGACCGCGAAGACCAGAACTGCTGAAGCTATGACACTCATATCGAAACAGCGTATGACTGCGTTATTCGCGCATACAAAGGAACTTTATGTTATATACGATCGACTAGCGCGGAAATACTCCACACTTTCCTATTTTTGAGAGCGAGTTCTCGGATTTTCTTGGTAAGCCAAACGTTTTGATATATAATGCCGTCAACGGCGACGGTTTGCCTACAAATTTAATTCGTGGCCGCCCGTTTGCAATCGGCTAATCTAGAGGCCTTTCTAAGATAGCGAAAACGACTTAAACTTCCGGCCAAAACAATTGCTGTCCTTTGTAGGAGATGGCTTACAGTTTATTCAGTGAGAGCTGTCCAAACCCTGAGCTTCGGCGCTAAGTTTGACTAGTCCTTCGACAATTGCTAAATAGGGTCTCAGGTCCTCGTCTAGTAATTCTTGCAAGCAACACCCAGGCCACCTAAGCTTTTGAGATTTTGAACACGACATTGAATCCAGCATTGTGAAAGCACTGCGCAAATATTTTTGCCTCCCCCTCCCTTTTTTTCTGGACCTTCAAGTCTTGTGGATAAAAACTAAATCGGAGCATCGAAGCCAACGAAAACGTCAAGACTAAAGTTTTTCATGATCTTAAATGGAAAAGTTTGATGTAAAACACTCACAGCTTGACAATTCTTCTGCTGGCCGAGAACACAATACGGGCATAGATAAATCCGTTCTAGCCATCACGATACTTCCTCGCGGTATTTTTGTATGGGTCCTCGCACTGGTCACTATTACCATTGCCGTCGAGTTTCCCTCTCTCATTCGTCCATTCTTGCTGACTAAGATTTCTTAAACAAAAAATTCTCCGGAGACTGAGATGTTAATACAGATGAGAAAAAAGCACTGTTAAATGATATTTTTGCACCAGGGGTTATGTAATCATCTCCTTGTAAGGACCTAGTCTACGGCCACTCAATAAAAATCTTAAAAGGAAGACTGAGAGCAGTTCTACGGCTCTGCTTGAGGAAATCAGCTTTCTAACGCTGTAATTAGTGCAATACTGGGTTAATTATCCAGGAGAAAAGACCATAGAACATATACGATTTTCGCAAAACGAGTTCCGAGTGGATTAGAACACTGTTATGCAGGTCTGCGTTTTTTATAGAATCCATTCGTGCATTTTCATTTTTGAAACTTACTCGTATTTATCACAATACAGCAACGATACTCATATGTTTAGCCTTACCTTTCCGCAGCGCAAATTTGAGATGTTTTGTGATAGAGTCAGCAGGGCTGTTGGCAATCCATAACATAGGATGCTTGGTAAAGAACGCTTAACACATTCTCGTACATCGTAAGAATTCGATCTATTGGTGGCACTTACTTGCAACCCATTTCTGCTCGAATTGGCTTTTAAACTTGTGTACTGTGTGTCTGCTGCCACAACCACTACGGACAGCGTCGAGGATATCGACACCCGCTTTATCCTCTTTCAAGAGATAGCAGGTCTTGTCTATGAGAACTTCCGACTCTTTGCATTTGAAGTAGCTTCCTGTGCATATGTGGGATACCAAACTTTATATATGTATGTTTTGCATAGAATCTAATTTTGATAAAATTATGCAGCTTACTCTCGCTCTCATAATCTCATATACGAGCGGCGGTCATTTTGCACGACAGAATTTAGCATCTAGCCTTCGTAACTTCTCCTGACACTTCGCGCAAGCGGCAAATATCCTCCAGCTTCTTCTGGATGCTGTCACTTACTTTTTTGAGAAGTTTTGGGTTATAGGCCAGCAAAAATTTCAGAAAATATCCCAAAAAATTTCAGGAAGGCAAGGAAAAAGTTTCTGCCTCATCTCCCCACCCCATCAAAAAAATTTTCGAACTGCCTGGGCCTTGGTATCCCATTCTTATCTAACACTCTCCCATCCACTCCTCTTCCATCTCACATCTGCTTCTTTCTCTACCGTCATACGAGTTTTTCGCAAAGACCAAGCACAGAGAAACTTCGCATTTTGATCCCATTAGTAATTTAGCTCGATAAGTGAGTTGGTATTTTGAGTTATAACGTTCTCACCTATCGTGCAAATCGTTTTAGCTCCATTCCTTCCAAAAGATTTCAGCGAGTAAGGATGCTGCTGTTCACAGAAATTCGCCGCTGCTACATCGTTATCCAATTCAACGTTATAGGTCACCTCGCATATGTCGGTCGCCTATGTACAACATTCTGTTTATTTGAAAGACTATGAGAAAATGAAAAAATTTTAAGGCGGCACACGCAACATTTTTGCTGAGAGGGAAAATATTATTATTCGAAAGGACCATTCGACAAAACGCTACTCTCAAATCTGGAATTATTAGCGGAACGCTCGTTTGTAAAAGGTCATGGAGTTTCAGAGAAAACGCAGAAAACCTGTCTAATAAAATGGTTTGAATCTCGACTTTCTATGCGACAGGCAAGCATACTCAGACTGCTTTGCGCTATCTGATCTTTAAGATTCATTTCCCAGTCTCATATGCCATCAAGGTCGAACTAGACGATTTTTTGAGATAGTTGTAAGGCCTTCTGCACCGTTAGGCCAAAGCATACCTCGGGATTCGGCCAAATAGCCAATTTCAAGCGACTTGGCGATTTACCAGATTCCTACAAATTTATCGTGCGCGCTTCTCGAACGCATATTTGGGTAGCTTGTATACGTTGTTGCCGACGGAGCAAGTTCTGACAAAAAACAGCGCATTAACGACGAATTACGAAGTGTTAGCCGAATCGCGCGAGGTATGCCTTAGGCCTTACCCGATCGGTCGACGCTACCTGAGAGAGGTAGGCTGTCGTTGGAGACGCAGGCGCTCGAATTAGACGAGTTACGCAAGAGCACTCTCCCAAAGGGAGAGAGAGAGAGAGACATCAAAGAATGTGAGTTCTACAACCTAAAAATGTTACGTGTCAGCGTAAACAGGTTTTCAAGTAACAGGTGCAGAATTTACGGTGGTTTGGGAAAGCGGAGGGAAATTATAAAATAGCCACTCTCAACCTTTTCAAATTCTTGTCTTCGTAAATAAACATTGCCTCTATTATTGTCGGAAATTTCACTCGCAGCAGCAGAAGGTAAAGAGCGAAGAGCAAGTGGAGAAGCCGCGAGGAGAACAGCAGCAATTTTCCTGTTGAGTTTCAACTCGCGCTTCCACTTTGGAAGCCAAATAAAATCGTGGTGTGGCGAGTATACCAGCCAGTAGTTAGTCTTGAGTCACCACGCATGCCAAACAATTTTTCAGAGTGCGTGGCGTTCAGCCACGCACCTTCCCAGATGCGCTTCAAATTCATTGAGGTCTCAACACTAATACTTGTAAGCAGAGTGTTTATTCGTGACAAAGGTAAAGATGTTAAAGGTAAACACTATATCTACAAGTAAGAGATTTGAGACCTCAATGAGTTTACCCCAGTCATTTGAAGAAACTTCTCACTGGAAGCCTTCACAAAATGAATTAAAATATAAAGTAAAAAATGTGAGATGTGTCATCATAAAAGGTTTCTGTTCTCTTCGTTTGCTTTACTTTTGTTGCATCCATGGTTGATGTATTCATTTTATTTCATGCTTCAATGGTCTTTTTGACTCAGTCTATTCTGATCGAAAAATGTGTTTAGTTGACTGAAAGATTTTTGGCTGGAAATAAAGAGAGGGAAAATATAGGCGCATTTTCACTACTCCAATTTCACAAGCAGGTCACACCTTTTTCATTTTCTCAAGCATGTAGCTTGGCCGCATTCTCAGGGACTCGCACCGTGCGGGCGGCCAGCGACGAACTTACAATCGCTCGTTGGTGTGTGCGATTGTACGGTCGTCAAGGGCCGTTAGCACGGTTAACGTGGGACGCCCGCACGGTCTCTAATGTTCGCCGCTTGCGCGGGGAAGGTCGGCCGCTGCTTGCTGCTGGAGTAGGTTTATATGGGGTATTTTAATCATTTTTCTTAGGTATGTTAAGCATTTTCACATCCTGCGAACACGGACTAATGCCTGCCGCACTACCCAAACTTTCCATGGAGAAGCCCACACCATCACTCTTGATAACTGTAGCCTCACGCAGGTTCATTCCAGCTTTGCGGTGAAGGGAAATGTTGATAACACGATAGTCGACGCTTAGCCAGCCTAAACGCTGCGTCGTATCTCATGCAGGTACCGTTTACGCTCACAGTGTGTGAAAACAATGAGCCGAAGGTAGAGGTCACTGTTGGCCGCTTGCACGGGCAAATGTTTGCCGCCCGATCGAACGGACACATTGCCTGCCGCTTGCACGGTCGGTTTTATTGCGTACCGATTGCGCGGCGAGATTGCCTGCCGCTTGTACGATCAAGTGATTGCTGGCAGATCGTGCGGACGCATTGCCTGCCGCTTGCACGGTCGATTTTATTGCGTGCCGATCGAACGGGTAGACTGTCTTCCGCTTGCACGGCATTTTTATTGTTGACCGCACGCACGGTACATCAAAAACTATGCAGTGCGCTCAGGCGGAGGAGCTTTAATGAGGACCGCCCGCACGGCGCGAATCCCTGAGTTAGTGTGCCTCGCGAAGTGGTCGATCTCGCACACAAATTTTCTAGGTACGCAGCAGCCGATATGCCCTTTGGTCGCTTAGGTGTCTCCAGCCTGGTCCGGCTTAGAAAAAAATAGGCGCGCCTTGCACACGTGAAATTAAAGAAAGATAATTCAAGATATTATAATACTATGTAAAGCTTCCATGATGTACCCTTTGCTAAAGGTGATCTTTCCTTATCACTCTTGAGATAAGTGACAGATCGTCGCCATTTCTTCACTAGCTGCAGAAAGAATAATGCCAAAACAGTGCTCGGAATTTCCACTGCTTGAACAGCTGTGCGAAATGACAGACCGGAAAGTATTGAATCTTTGCTTAGTCTACTCATATTGTACCATCGCATTCCATACGAATCGAATCTCAAAACATATTGGCTGGTGCAGGCTTTCCATGCCATGTAAAAACATGTCTGCGCTAAGTTCAGCTATACTTACAGTCAGTATTCCTGTACCGAAATTCGGCGGTCGATTGCAGAATTGTCCGAAGGTGAAATCTACAATTATTGATTTGTAATTTCAAACAAAAATGATTACCTTTTTGAAACCACAGATTATTCTTGCTCTAAACTGGGATTATATACCTCAAACATAAAAAATCGAATTTGCTTTGTTCTATAATGAATCATACAACCAAGTTCTCCCCAAATCTCACATAAACCTAACCGTAAAGGAAAAGGAGGGTGGGTTGGGTGAGGCTTTATCAAATTTACTTATGGTTTCTTCCATCTTCTACGAAGCCACATTCGATGAACGATATTAACTATTAACTTTTAAGAAGCTCACCGGCTGCTTTAAGAGCCTCCACTTGATTCCAGACCGCGATGAAGAGCAACGTTTTCTGCAGCAAGGCCATAACTGCAGAAAACGAAGGTTGTTTGTAATTCTGGAATGTCGAAATTGTTTCAGAGCACACTCTTAATTGATGAGTAAAACTATAGCGATTAACGAAAGTGAAAGCTGCTCTACTACAACAACGCTCTCATTGTATGCCGACACTCAGGCACGCGAAAGTGGATGGAGAAATTTTATATTGAAAAAAGTCTTTCTCTATTCTATTCTGAGCCCTTCAACGTGTTGTTTAGTTCCGGCCAATAGAATTCTTCTTAAAATCCCAAATTACTTCTTATGAGAGAAAAGACCATTTGTTAAGACGTTTACTACTGATATCTACTTCCTCGGATTTCAGATTCTTGATAACAATTTTTGTATTCCTGATTTGTTGTCAGCATCGCTTCAAGCATTCTGTGCCAACCCTGAATATCCTTGAAGAATGTCAAAGGGTCAAGCTAAAGTCGTGACACGCAAGGTCAGTCTTAGACGAAACATTGGGTATACGGCCTCGTTCAGAATAGCTCTTAAACGGAGGTCGCCTCGCCACGCAACTCCAAAAACCATATTCATACTACCTTTTCACTAGTCTATCATCGACATCCCCACTTTGGCGTCGAAATCTCTAAAACACTTGTAGTTGGCTTCTCGCTCCAAGTCCTTGCTCATTTTGATAGGAACCTCTTCTGATCCAACAGTCGCTGATGGCGAACGGCTAATGATGCAGATGGTAAATCGACGCGGTGATGTAGGATGGTTAGTGGCATAGGATAAGTGCGATGCGAACGGAAGCCAGGATAAAAAAGCCATACTACTAGCATTTACTGTTGAAACTTTTTCACTTTTAAGTGCTACAGGGTTGCAAGTAATTATACGTGCATCCCATAGCTCTAAGAGTAAAAGAAATTTGTGGAGACTACCCTGGATTTGTAAATGGAACTAACAATTTTTGTGTCAAATGTCATAGGCGAAAAATATTGCCGATGATGATGAACACAGACACCTACAGCGATACATGCTTGCGTCACAACATTGACTCCTCGATTGGATATTCGACTAAAATCATTTGATCTACGAGACAGGAGGCGAACGACGACAAAACGGTCAAATTAAAGCTTTTTGAGCATCGCCAGCAAGTCAAAGAAGCTTTCAACACTTTGGACTTTATAATTCCCTTGGCCTTCGAACGAGTTTGCAAAGTATGAACGGAGCCGAATTTATTGTCTTCAGTCGATTCCCCGTCATTAATAGACACTAAATCCATTAAGATCGAAAGTCGATGGATGAACAATGGAATCTTCTTACTTCGCAGAAGCAATCGAAGGCCAAGGAGATTCTAAAATTTACCCGAACCACTGATGACTACGACCGGATTGTGAAGGATTGCGAGCCTGCGGGCAGTGCGCCTCAGTGACTTTTAAGAGCAAAAAGACCATTTCCGAGCCGAACTGGTCGAAAAAGTCGTTGAGACAAGATCCGAAATGCAAGTCATCTCGAACGACTGTTAGCCAACGCCAGTTGCAGAGCAGCTTTGCAGGAGGATCTCAGGCGGAGACAAGCAAAGATACTGAAAGCAGTCGAAGGAAGACGAACTCAAGAAGACCTCTGCAATTATCATGCAGCGCCGGCTGCACTTTTGAACGAAGACGAAATTTCGGGTTCTTTCGATGTAAGATGGAATCTATCGTGAAGAACTTGTACACCAAACTCTTCCGCTCATCATCATCCGTGGCGATGTCCGTTATTCTCACTGGAGAAAAACCACCACAAATTCTATCTTCTAATCCAATAAACAATAAACAATAAACAATCTGCAGAAGTGCCACCGCAATTCAAGCCATGAAGAGGTCCATGGCTCCACGACCATGTCATCCTTCCGCCGAACTTCGACGAGCCGGAGGACACGTCTACACGTAATTCTCGCATCGCATCTAGCATCTTATTTCAGAAAGAAAGGATTCCCAACCAGTGGATTTCCCTTCGAAAAGGAACGGAAGGATCTTCGGAACCTAGCGTGTAATATGCTTCCTGAGTGTGCTGCACAAGCTTGACATGAGAATTACCCTCGCTTGCACTGACTAAAGATCGTCCCAAAAACGAGCTGTATTTCTAAAAGGATTCACTCGCATGGATCACAACCGAACGGTTTCGAGGGTTATGGAAGTTTCCTGAAAGTACTGATGTCTCTCATCCTGACCTTCGTCGACTACAAGAAAGGCTTTGACAGCTCCGAGACCAATACTATCCTGTGAGCGTCCGTCGATCAGGGAGTGGGCCCAGTTTACATGGATGGAGACCTACCTTCTTTGTCCCGGCTGCAAGTGTATGCAATGTTGCTTATTGAGACCACCACTGTGGTAATACTACAAAGCAAAGTGATCTCCACCGTGGAATGAGCTGTTCTCAAAATGATGTGTTCAACAGTGATAACTGGTCACTCTGGGCTGGAATGTTGAATCCTTGTAAAAGCTGTTAATTTCATCCTTATCCTATTCCCTAGTCCAACCGTGAAATGCGTCTGCCCTAGTCCCACCATGCATCGTCAGCGCCATTATTAGATCGCTACGAGGACTGCACAACGACATGCAGCTATTCCATCGCGTCCTGACCATCCTTATTGGGGAGAGGGTAAAAAAAATCGACACAATTCTGCCGCAGCTGTTCATCGCGGCTTTGCAGTGAGTGACGAAGTCACCAGACTAAGAGAGGCATACGACTGATGGGAAATTCCTTCGGAACCTTCGTTTTGCGAATAAAATCGTCTTTTGTTTGAGTAGTATTACTGAAGCAGACGGTGCTAAAGGATTTGAACGAAATAGAACAGAGATTGGTTGCAATAGATTGGAACTCACATGGAGAATATCCTTTGCGAAAACGGGAAATGGAACTGGAAGAGAACGTCAGGGCATTTTATCAATCCGCGTAAGTTATACACACTACGCATGAGCAGTTCGCTATTATTGCGAAGACTTCTGGCGAATTGTCAAATCGCGTCGCGACTGAAATCGCGTGAAGTATGCCCGGCCCTTAAAAGGGCTGCTCCTATATGATCACATTATAGCCAGTCGTTGTTATCTGGTTTTTCACGCCTACCCCTATGATTCTTGCGGTCCTTCTGCAAACCCAAAGGCACTTACCTTCGTTGAGCCAGCTGCGATGGTATGCAATGTCACTTGTTGAGACCACCCGCTGTTTGTGGTAAAACTACAAAGCAAAATGATCTCCACCGTGAAATGAGCTGTTCCCGGAATGATGTGTTCATTGGTGAGAACAGGTTAATTTTGTGCTAAGATGTTGTGATCTTGTAAGAGCTGGGCCGGTTACATAGGAGAAAAACAAAGACAGACGGACTCTAAGAACATTAGAGTCATTTCCTTTGGCAAAACGCCTCCGAAGAAGATCTGAGCAGACGTGTCGACCAGATAGACCAGCAGAGATACCAACTGGGTATAATTTTCGCAACTGGAACTCGTGGAAGCAGCCACGAGGACAAATAAGAACGTGGATTTCTGAAGCGAAGAACAGGGATCGTTGGGAACTTTTGTGCTAACGCCTGCATGCCACGTGAAGACGGGCCATTCGAGTATCTAGGAAAGATTCATTCGGTAAATCGTCCTTTTCTGCCAACTTGTCGCTTGCCCTTAAAAGAACAGCCTGAAGCTGGAAGTCTGAGCATTGCTCACGAATATAGACCCTTGCATGACTAAAAACATGACTTTTTTCGCCACAACTAAGAACACTAATTTTCGGCTAACGCCTGGCACCTCGGGCAGAACTTCATGCGATTTTATCCCCTCGCGATTCTTCCAGCAAGACACTTACTAGTCCATAGGAGCCGATTATTCCGCGTCGTGGTTGTGTCACTTAATTACGATTAGTCGTGTCGAAGAACTGCAACAAGCAATATGCAAGAAAATCGGCATGCAAAAGGCTAGTAATGCTGCCTTATCGGGAGAATCGCGAGATGAAATCGCTTTAACTTTGCTCGAGGCCTGAGCTGCTCCCATACAAACAAATTATATGCCCTCGTTGTTGTATGGTTGCTCAAGCCTGCCCCTTATGATTCTTGCGGTCCTTCTGCAAACAGGCACTTACCTTCGTGATAACAGCTGCAATAATATGCAATGCCACTTGTTGAAAACACCTACTGTTCGTGGTAATGCTACAAAGCAAAATGATCTCTACCGTGGAATGAGCCGTTCTCAGAATGATGGGTTCACCAGTGATAACTGGTCAATTTTGTGCGAACATGTTGGGGTCTTGGAAGAGCTGTTAGTTTCATCTGGAATGATATCCACGAAGGTCCATAATGGAGGAAATTGAACTTTCAAACCCCATTTTATTCGTTCGCGGCAAAACTGGTCACTATCTGCTTTCGATGGCGTTATTTAAGAAATTTTATTTCGTCGCAACCACGAGGCAAGGCGGTGCGATGAAAATGATTCAACCCTACTTGAGCTCTCGCTTGCGAAAAAATCATGAGAAAAGTCCATCTAGATTGGGGTAGAATGGGATTTACCTTCATTTTAAATGAACTTGAAAGCCCATTTTACTCCCAACAGCAAGGTGAGTTGGGACTAAGCCCATTTTTGACTTTTTTGCACATTACTAATTGCGATTTTTTTTGAGAATGTCGTTAGCCGAATTTGAGGTAACAAGTGAGTGGAAAAAGTTTTATGTCTTTTATGGAGTCTGAAATGAGTGCTTCTTTCTAAACTTATACAAATGCTATGAAAATTATGGAAGAAGGGTAAATTACCAAAGTATTCGCTAACAAGCTCAAATACTTTCAAATATCAGGTCGATGCGAAAATTTCTATGTAAATCAAATAAAGTTTGATAACTTTTCAAATCATCTTTTCAGAGATAAAAAAGATTTGCGTTTCTATATAAGGTTTCTTTTGGCTAATCTCGTAAAACCGAGCCTCAAAGACTGCATTTCAAACGCATTTAATTTAGTCGCAAGAATTACTGAAGTGGCTAGCAAGCAAGAAAAATTCTGTGAAAAATATCTTACTAGCAATAGTTCATACAGCTAAATACTTAGAAATTTGAACATTAGTGCTGAAAGACAAAGAAGAGCTAAAGTAGAACGTTTGCGAAGTCATCTTTTGGATTCGTAGTTTTTCCGACTTAAAAATTATTTAGGTTGTAGTGTAGTACAAAGTTTCCTATGAGATAAGCTTTTTGATTCACAGATTGCATGCAAGTCTAGCCAAAGTTTGCTTTCTGTAGAAAGCTCCACATACGAATTTGATTCAATGCATATTCTTAAAAGTTTTGAAAAGCGAAAGCCTGGATATCGCATGAATTTTAGTTTTGGAAGTAATTTAGATGCATAGTCATCGATAGTTTATGGCATTTTGTGAGATGTAACGAATTGGGAATAATATAATATCCTCGTGACTGACATTGTGATATTAGGTCAGCCTAGTCAGATATCAACCACTTGGTGGAAATTAGTTTGCAAGAGTGAGCAAACAGGTTGAGGCAAGTTGAACAAAGGTTTGCTGAAGAAGTTTTGTATGGAACGAATGGATCCGCAGATGCGATATCTTATCGCACCGCATGGACTAAATCCATTTTATTCGCACAAAAAGCCCATTTCGTGGTGACTTTCGTGGATATCATTCCTGAACTATCCTCTCCGATAGTCCAACCAAATGCTTCTGCCCTAGTCCCATTATGCATCATCAGGGCCAATGAAAGCTGCAAAGATAAGCTGTCTAGGGAGCCTGAGAAAGTGGTACATCGAAAGCTCTACCGGCTACTAGCAGAGTGCTTGAACACAGACTGAACAACAACACAAACACATGACTTTCTTCGCCACAACAAGGAACACTAACTTTCGGCTAACGCCTGACACCCCGAGCAGAAGTTCACGCAATTTTATCCCCTTGCGTTTCTTCCGACAAGAACTTACGAGTCCATAGCACGCCGATTATTTTGCGTTGCGGTTGTGGCAGTCAATCGCGATTAGTCGTGTCGAAGAACAGCCACAAGCGACATGCAAAATAATCGGCATGCAAGTGGCTAGTAATGCTGCCTTATAACGAGAATCGCGAGGCAATGAAATCGCGTGAACTTTGCCCGGGGCCCAAAAGAGCTGCTCCTATATGACCAAATTATATGCACTCGTTGCTATAGGCCCCGGACAGACTTCACGTAATTTGGTCGTGGCGACTCAATCGCCGACATGTCCATTCATTTTCATTTCACAGTCAGAAAGTCGGGCTAGAAAAGTATCACAGCCGAAATGCAAGTTGATCGGCATGGAATGATGTTGTAACAGTTGTCTCGTCGCGATTCAGTCGCGACGATCATCGCGTGAAGTCTGTCCGGCACCATATGGTTGTTTGAACCTGCCCCTTATGATTCTTGCGGTCCTTCTGCAAAAGGCACTTACCTTCGTAGTGCCAGCTGCAATGGTAGGCAATGTCGCTTGTTGAGACTACCCACTTTTCGCGGTAATGCTACAAAGCAAAATGATCTCCACCGTGAAGTGATCCGTTCTCAGAATGGCGTGTTCACCCGTGATAAGTGGTGAGTTTGGGCTGACATGTTGAGATTTTGTAAGAGCTGTTCATTTTATCCTGAACTATCCTCTTCCTTAGTCCAACCTAAAATGCGTCTGGCCTCCCATCATGCATCGTCAGCGCCATTAGCCGATCGCTACAAGGACTGCACAACGACTATGTACTCCATCGCCCCCTGACAATCTTTATTGGGTGGAGGTCCGACAAATCGACACAATTTCGCCGCAACTGTTCATTGCGGCTTTGCAGTGAGTGATATGGAGTCACTGGACTAAGAGAGGAATACGAGTCGATGGGAGATCCCTTCGGAACCTTCGTTTCGCGAATGAAATCGTTCTCTGTTCGAGCAGTATCATTGAAGCAGGACGATGGAGAAAGGAAGGAAGGAACTGAACAAAGTAGGAAAGAAGATCGGAATGCGAATAGATTGGAAGAAGACTCAATTTAGAAAGAATGTCCTTTGCGAATGTGTGGAAATGGAATTGGAAGGCACACTTATCATGGAAACGTCTTACTGCGTGTATACTGAACGTTCGATGAACACAGAGAACGACTTCGGAAAACTCAACAGGTGAAAACGGCAGTCTCTGGGCCGCATTAGGGGCTTCGAAGAAAGCCATTGACCAACTGGCAAACCCAAAGATTCGGGGCACCTGTTCGACGCAACCGTTCTCCCGTCGCTCTGTTGCGCAGCTGAGACTTGGGCCAACAGCCACGTCGAAAGCTCTAAAGACTTTAACAGAGCGCTTGAACACAGTCTTCTAAAGATGATCCGACTTCTCATATCTGACTTCGCTAGGATATGAGAAGAAAATCCCGTGCTTTTGATCCAACGAAATACGTTGCGAGAGCGAAGCAGCAATGACCGGTCACGTGTGAGAACAACATAGACAGACCGACCTAAGACATCAGGGTCGGTAGTAAACCTATCGAAACTCACAGTTATAACTCAGAGTTAACTCTGAGTTATCTCTGAGCTAACGCGCAACTTTTCGACCCCCTTAACAGGTGTTTGAACAGATCAAATCCGGAAAGTGATGATATGGCAGGATTCTCCTTAACACGTAGTTTATTCCTAGTAGCGCAACATTGTCCAAATCGTCCTGCACAAGAAACAGCGCCACCAAACGCGCAACTAGTGTCTGCGATAACTCTGAGTTTGGTGCGAGTTTCAGTCTATCGTGGAACTCAGAGATAACTCTGAGTTTGGTCAGAGAAAGAGAAATAGTGCGCAAAAGAAGAGGGGCAGATAAAAAGTCCTCCGGGGTACATTTTGCTCGTAGTTTAAGCAGGCATGATGGGGGTATCGTGGTGCGCAGTGAATTACAAAATTTTGAAATTTTGTAAAAACTTGGCCCAGGGGGTTATTCGGTGCGCTGGTCACGCATATGGCACCCATTTTTCACTATGGGGTCATGTAGAGGTGTTACGGTAGGTTTACGGTAGATGGGAGAAAGCCACGAAACTGATCGAACTTGGTACACTGGGGTTATTCGGGGCGCCGATAACGAATATGACATGCAGATTATACTGTGGTGTCATCTGACGAGGTTACGGTAGGTTTACGGTAGATAGGAGAAAATCACGAAACTGATCGAAACTTGGTGCACTGGGGTCATTCGGGGCGCCGACAACGAATATGACATGTAGATTATACTGCAGTGTCATCTAACGGGGTTACGGTAGGTTTACGGTAGATGAATTAAAGCGGCGGAATTAGCCGAAATTTGGTACACTGGAGTTATTCGGGATGCAGATTACGGACAATCTATCTGCTAACACTGGTGACATATGGAACGGTTACGGTAGGTATACGGTAAGTAAGACGGAATCATGGAAGGGCAAACTTTGCCCGGAGGATTTATTCTGTGCGCAAATCCTAATAGTCAATTCTTATCATTGCGTATGCCATCCGCTTTCTCTATGTTTGAAGCTTTCAGCTGCGCAAAAGACCAATCCTCGTGATGAACCATCACTGCCCGATAGAAATGGAAATGAGTGAGGCTTTGGTATAACTTCTCAGACACTTTTTCCGACGGCCCGCGCCTTGAGCGTGCGAGCGCTCATGCCTCCCGCCGCCCGTGGACTGAAGGTACGCGGCTCGCTCGCTGAAGGCGCGCCGCTCGCCCGCTCCTTCGAAAGCGTTGTAGGACCCTATTGTAATACAGATAGCAATCCTTTGATAAACTTCATATTTTGTCATTGAAATACGACCTCATACCCTCAGATTTATTGCCAAACATGTGTACAGGTATGATTATGGCAGATTTATTATCCAAAGACTTACAGAAAGACATAATACAGAATCAAAAGCAGAACACAACAGGCAACAACTATAAAATCATCAATACCTTTTACGCTAAACCCCTACCGAATACACGTAAAGCATAACAGCCATGCTGATACTGAGAAAGCACTGATAGACACCGGTAAGAATGACCTGATTAAGCAAAAAAAACCGGAATCCTGTCAGAATCATGACACTGAGGCAGTGAACACGGAGATCTTGATGAAAGTTTGAAGCAAGGTACCATTATATTACGAATGAAACACTAAAGAGAAGACACTGAACAGTACTTGTAAAGAAAACACAAAAAGAAAAAATTAGATTGAATCAGGATGAATTGAATTGAATCAATCCTAAATCAGGTTGAGCAAGTCAAAGCATATATGACATCCCAGAATGTGCAGCCGTACTGTCATGCGATTAGCAATATGCCATAGCGAGTGGATGTCCGATCCTACCATGCAATTCAAACTGCCGTAAGTGACTTTAGCGCGTAATACGATATCGGATCTGATAAACACCTAGAAACAATTTGTATGTTTTTATCAAAAACAATGTACTCGTACTTACGTAATAGACCGCTTCGTTAAACTCCTTGCGATGCATCTTGGATAAAATTAAACGGGCTGCCCTGTCAATGTGCAAGATTCCGTTCTCAGCGCATTCATGAAGTGATCTAGGCAATGGAAGAGGCTGAACTCCTCGTAGGGGAGTTTCAACGTGAAACTCGCGTCTTTCGTACACGTTACCTGAAAAACAAAGTCTAGGAAACATAACAGAAAGGAAAAAAAGCAAAAGCTATGAACCTTGTGGAACTTCTAATTCCATCTGGATATCTGAGGGTGCCGCTTCGTCTTCGACAATATTTTCCACAAAAGGATTCTCTCTACTGAAAACGAAACTACTAGAGCTAATAAAACCAGATAACAAACATACCCAGTGAGACATGGTGGAAAAACAGGTCTAGGCTTCGCATACGTTTGTGTTCCTCCAGATTTACGCTTGAGACTGACCGCGGCCCGATACATCTTTCAAAATATTGTAATATCAGGAAAAAGCATAGCAAACAACTCTGGTGATGGCACCAAAAAACCACTCTGCACGAAAACGTCTTCCTGCATAGTTACGGTAGGGGCCGAAATCACAAATTGGCAAATGTATCTTTTCCCGTGCTTTGCTTAGGCAAAAGCCGCAGCAGGGTGTGTAGCGCACGGCGGTGGTCGTGTGTGCAAAGCTTCAGATCGTCCGAATCGCCATACACCCGTTTCAAGCAGAACTACGTTTTACATCCGTTATCGTGTAGCTACCGTAATTCGAGAAAATGACGCTACGGTTCAAAACCAATGTGATATTCAGCATCAGCGGGCCGAATAACCCCTCTGGGCCAAGTTTCGGGCAAATCTATGATGTTGGCCCCCTACCGTATACCAACCGTAACCGTGCATAGAGGCGTTTTCCTGCGGTGAAAAGGTGATATTCGTGATCAGCGCCTCAGATAACTCCTCTAGGCCAAGTTTGAGCGAAATCCATGACAAAAAAATTTGGGGCCCGGATAGCCGAATAGCGGACGCAATACGGACGCTAAGATGCTACGGAATAGGGAGCACATGGATGACAATGGCTGTACACATGTGAACCAGAAAAAACTTACAGAGAATGGAGACGATTAGCCGGCAAAACAGACAAGCAACCAACGATGCGATAAAAAATTCCACCTTCCTACGGCTAACAACGAATTCAAAATGATGCTTACGCGTCTTGTTAAGTTACATGTTCGTTGTTCTTACATATTTGTTGATGGCGCGCCGCTCGCCCGGTCACTCAAGATGGCGCGCCGCCCGTCGAAGGCAAGGCGCGCCGCTCGTCGGAAACGAGCGCCATCGAAGCTCGCCGCTTGCACGGCAAGCTTCGATGGCGCGCCGCCCGTCGGAAACGAGGCCACGCCCACAAATCTAGGCGCGCCGCTCGCACGGTAGGCTCATGAAAGCGCGCGGGCCGTCGGAAAAAGTGTCTGAGTTGTTTTGACCTGCTAAGTGTTAATGGAATGAGTGAGTACATTATGGCAAAGCAATTTTAGGGTTCATGGGTGTGTCATGGTCTAGCGGTTTAGTGATAGGATCTTTACGCTAGACCATACAGGTTCGAGTCCCTACTTCAACGTCGCTTTTGCAGCAAAGTGCTTAACAGCTTCTCAAGCAAACTTCGAGCTTGAGAGTTGGAATTCGGAATTACGAAAGCGGAACTCAGAGTTTCAATAAGCGTAACTCAGAGTTTCAAAAACGGAACTCAGAGTTGTCTCTGAGTTAACGCAGAGCTTTGAACTCGGAGTTTCGACCAGATTACTACCGACCCAGATTGATTTCCCGTGAAGCAATTTCCCCGAGAAAGACCTTTCTTCATCGAGATGGGCAGATGTGTTTGTGATACAGATGTACCAACTTGAGGAATCAGCTGGATATGATTTTCGCACGAAACGCGTGGACGCAGCCACCGACGGCAAGCAAGAAAATTGTGCGTTTCTCAAACGAGAGAGAGAGGAACCATTGGAAACTTTGCTGGGGTCCACACGCCATGTGAAGACGGGCCATTTGTATCTAAGTAGGTATCATTCGATCTTTTTAGCGTCTTCGTCTTGTCTTGTCTTCGTCTTGTGCAGGTCTGCATGATTCTTGCGGTCCTTCTGCAAACTCAAAGGCGCTTACCTTCATGGTACCAGCTGCAATAGTATGCAATGCCACTTTTTGAGAACACCCACAGTTCGTGGTAATACAAAGCAAAATGATCTCCACTGTGAAATAAGCAGTTCTCGAAATGATGTGTTCATCAGTGAGAACTGATCAATTTTGTGCTAACATGTTGAGGTCTTGGAAGAGCTGTTAGCTTCATCCTGAGCTATCCTCTTCTCTAGTTCAACCGTAAAATGCGTCTATTCCACTCTCACCATGCATCATCAGGGCCAATCGAAGCCTGAGAAAGTGGCCATCGAAAGCTTTACAAGCTACTAACATAGTGCTTGAACACAGTCTTCTAAAGAGGACCCGGCTTAAACTAAATCTTGCCTGAATTCGCTACGGATATGAGAAAAAGTCCCGTATTCGGGATCCAGCGAAATACGTTGCGAGAGCGAAGCAGCAATGGGCCTGTTACTTGTGAGAAGAACGAAGACCGATAAGACGTCAGATTGATTTCGCGTGAAGCAAAAGTCTCCGAGGGAGAACCTTCTTCATCGAGATGGGCAGACGTGCTTGTGGAACGGTGGACCAGATGAGAAATCAGCTGGATATAATTTTCTCAACTGCAACTCTTGGAGGCAGCCACGAGGACAAACAAGAAAATCATGGATTTTTGAAGCGAGGTACAGGAATCGTTAGGAGCTGCTGTGCTGAGGCCTGCACGCCACGTGAAGACGGGCCGTTTGAGTATCTAAGTAAGATTCATTCGGCAAAGCGTCCTTTCCTGCCGACTTGTCGCTTGCTCTTGAAAGAACAGCCTGAAGCTGAAATCCTGAGCATTTCCCACGAATGTAGACCCTTGCATGAATAAAATCATGACTTTCTTTGCCACAACTAAGAGCACTAATTTTCGGCTAAAGCCTCCAGCAAAATTGTCCAAGTTCGACTCTCGATTAATCTTTCATGTTGCAGATGCTTGTTGTGGCTTGTTTAGCTAGACACCGGGATTGGTATATCCTTTATTCGACTAATGTTTCGGCGGTATCGCCTTCTTCAGAGTCTGAAATTGTCGAATGCATAAGTGAACTATCCTATCAAAAACCTCCTCAAGACTTAGGAAGACGCCCAATGCGTCAGTGAGCCAAGAACTCGAAAGTGAATGCAGGATTAAACTAATGCTTACCTAAACAGATGCCGACAAAGTGGTATTGCAGACCACTATACCAGTAACTGAGCTCATACTTTCTTATATACTTATTCGCCTGGCCAACTTGACCTCAGAAGCCGCAAAGGCTCTGATAAGGAGCCAACTCATTAATGATATCTATGCACTCATCTTTTCGATTCAAATTTGGACTTTTGGCGGTAATCCAAAACGCTTCTAAAGTCTTGCGCGCTAGGATTTCGGACTCAAACGCTAAGATCGTGACCTCCACGCGCATCTCTGCGTCATTATTTATTTTTATTTATTTATTTATTCAATACGCACAAGGGGTGCCATATTTGAAACAAAAAACGAATACTTAGAGCTTGAACAGTAAAGAAAATAACAAAACATCCCAAAAGCTTGAGTCCAGCTCCGTGAATGGAAGGGGGTTAAGCTTGTGGACCGTGTATGAATATCGGTGCAGATGCTCGGTGGAGTCATGCCCCCTGCTTGCAGCAAAAGTGCTCTTAGATTATTCAACAAGCAATTGTATATGCGGGGAACAGATGTAATATTGAAAATTTGCCCGACTGAGTTCGGAGGAGAGAGCAGAACTCCAAGATAAAAGATTGTGATGCAAAAAATGTCAGTTCAGACAAGCTATTCCCACATAACTACGGAAGGATGAACCGGACCCGAACCACGTATGGATGAAGTAAAAATTCGAACAGCGAGTGACTTGAAGGTCCATCGATCACAAACTTGGTACATGAGAGATCTATCACTGGAAAACCTTCTGCGCGATGAGTGAGAGATTGACAGAGTTGGTCGATAACAAGTACTGGAGTAGGCCCGCAACACGCATAGCAGTGGGTGTGGGAAGGGTTCGGCAGGGTTCGGCAGGCAAACGGTAGCACTATACGAGCGATGACAAGAAAGTCCTCTGGAAAATCAGTCAAATTCAACTTCTTGGAGAAAATCAATCAAATTTAACTTCCTAAGTTTTCGTTTGAAAGTGAGACTAACTGGGGAAGACAAGATTTCTTTAGGTAAACACTGAAGATATTTGGAAGTGCGTGCGAAAAAACTGTTTTCTGATAAAGAGTTGAATTGTTTACGCCCACCATTTAGATGTAAGTAAACAGAAAACCCGGTGGTCCTTCCACGACTAGGCCTGAACACCCAGTATTTAGAAGGTCTTAGCTTAGTCTCGCCTCTAAAAATCCTAAAAGCAAGTATTATATCGTGCAGGATCCTACGATGTGAAAGGCTTTTGCGACCAAAGACTTTCATTCGTTCACCATAGCTTGGAAGCGACGGTGGGTAACCACGACTGGGACAACATCTGTAAAAAAGCAAGCGAGTAAAAACCTTCTGGACGTTCTCCAGGGCCTGCTTATGCTTCCTCAGAAAGGGGCTCCAAACCTGACTTGCATATTCTATAATAGGGATGACAAATGCTTTATAGAGTTTCAGTAATATTTTTGAAAGGAACTGTCTGCGATGCTTGCCCAGTGGGGTTGCCGTGTTTGGATTTTTGAGCCCGTCTAGGTGTTCTTTGACGTGTATACATAAGGGCCGCCCCGTCAGGGCCCGGCACGAGTCCGTTTCTAGGGTTTTTTTTAACGAAGTCCCCCCTGACTTCCGAGAATTTTACGAAGTCCCCTTTAACCCTTGCCCTACCCCCCCCCCCCACCCTCCACCGAGAAGCAAACAAAATGAACACTTGTTGAAGTGATGTATAAGATATAAGATATCTATATATATATATAAAACTCAATGTCTGTAAGGATGTTCGTTTAATTGTTCGTTCGTTATAGAAACGCGCGCCACTGAACCGATCCGGTTGAAACTTCGCACACGTATATTTTCGACCCCGGCGGTGGTTTAGAGCTACTTTCCGCGGCGATTCGCCGGGCCATTCTATCGATTTATTGATTTGTTTACTCAAACCTAAGAAAATGAAGGGCCATCATGGCAACCGATCATTTTTACATATAAGCATGTAAGTAGGGTCGGTAAAGTCCATTTCAGCCTTAAAGTTGGTAGAATGCGGCTTAGTCTGAAAGCGCTTTATGCGCACGTCAGAAGAAATCTAGAGGCGTAAGTTTAAAATTTCTGTTGGCTTAACTAACTTGAAGTCTCGGGTAAGACCGAGGCCCCCAGCTAGTAATTAATAAAGTTTTTCCACTTGTTTGAACATGTGCAGAACGTACTCGAATTTCCTAATCTCCTAATTCTTGCCAACTGAAAAGTCGCCATCTTCTTCCAAACACCTCAAGCAAAAAAATAGGGACAGATAGATAAACATTGTTGACGGCTTTGTTGACTGTCTATAGCAGTGATAGCATGCTGAACAATGAGACGCGCTTAGAGTTACGTCCTCCGAGAAACTATAAAAATTGTCAGAATTTTCGCAGATTTGTGACTAAAATTTTGAAGAGTTTGCTATCATCGTAGCACCAAAGAAGAAGTTTCGCAAAAATCAATCAAATTTTTGCGGAATGCATGAAGTTGTGTTCATCTGCAGGTAGATAGAAACAATTTGTTTTCGTCAAATTTAGACCTAACATAAACAACGAAAAATTTGCGACCCATTTCTTTTTCCCTAAAGATTCATATTCAGGCTTTTCAGTGCATGAAAATGGCGAAAATGAGCTTTTTTCCAAAGCTTTCCAGATCCGCATTCTGTGAAGATACGCCGGAAGTCTTCCACGCCCCGCTTCCCTCGTCGGCCCCGCCCACTTGCACGTACTCTCCACTAAAATGGAAATGGGAAGTTTTGGGAAAAGCTCATTTTTGCCATTTTCATGCGCTGAAAAGCCCAGATATGGTTCCTTATGGCGAGAAGGCCCCGAAAAGATGAAAAACTGGAAAACGAAATTCTGCCAAGACACTGCCTTCAAGCGAGCATTAGTATTAGACGGAAAATCGCTTCACTTCAAGAGGTTTCACTTCATTTTCTGCTTAGAGTCTTTATTACTAGCATTACAACAGCATAATCAGACAATGGTCTACTTCAATGATTGAGCTTAATCAATTGCTCAACAATAGAAATCCACCTGCAGAACTTGAAATTCATCGGCTGACATATGGCAAAAGTAGCAGCTAGATCTTTGATCTCTTCTGGTATATTGCAGCCCGTAGTACAGCAGCGTTGCATGAACACGACTAGACCGGACAAAAAGCCCTAACTTCGTATGAATTTCCCTAACTTCGTATGAATTTCAAATATCATCTAAATGATTCGTAATCAAATTGCTAAATGACTAGACAATTGCTATTCCTAAAACAATGAGATCTGCCTACAATCAATCAAGTGTTTGATCAGTCATGTGTTGGTAGGCACGCATATACTTCATAAGAGCTGATCCCAAGTCTTCTAAGTGAATAGGCTGCCGATTCCGCAAATCGCCATGCTCGGCTAACGTAGCCTTGGCTCTCAATAGTACGGCGATGCGACACACCTGGAAAGCAAGGATAGGCTTAACGATAACATAATGCAGTACAAACCTCTTTCAAATCAAAGCCAGACAATCCAACTGCCATGGCCGCAATTGCATCCAAATCAACATCGTTGCCTAGACGTTCCTCACAAGTATAATCTGAAGTTAGTATAAACCTTACAGTCCTATGAAAGAGCGACGTACATTAAAAATTTGAGCTCTCCGCTTTTCGGAAGGGACTGGAACGGGAAACCGTGCTGACATACGTCTCAAGATAGCCGGATCCACATCTTGAGGTCGATTAGTAGCACCCATAACAATGATCTGATGATCATGACATGATATTGTGTTTATCAACGATCTTGTAGTGAAAACTGCGATTGCGACAAAACACAAGTCGGGTCCAAACACAAATTTAACATATATATAACATATCTTTGATTCAACTGGTTCAGCTCCGTCAGGGTAGGCCGCTCGCGCCCGCGCCTGCGTCTCTCGCGCGCGAGTGCTCTCTGATCATTACCTAGCCTTAATTAGGTCACGAAGCCCGCCTTTGCCGAAGCTCAGCCAGTTGAATCAATTGTATATTTAGGTACCTCATCATTCGTGCTGCAAAACCCATCCCATAACGAGATAAACTGAGCCTTCACCATAGCGGTTGCCTTATGGTCGTTTGCTTGCGATCACGCAGAAATGAGCCTGGAAAATAAGATCTAGGCCCAAGACAGAGTTCACGCGATTTGATCGTCGCGATTCAATCGCTAAAGATAAATGTTACGAGTTCATTGCATGCCGATCTTCTTGTATTTCGGTTGTGATAGTTCTCCAACATGACCAATCGTGACTAACTATCGTAACCCAAAATGCAAGATGATCGGCATGCAATGAACTTGCAACATTTGTTTGTAGCGATTGAATCGCGATGACGAAATCGCGTGGACTCTGTCTTGGGCCTAACGCCCATCTATAGGCAAATTTTTTCAAAGCATACACATGCTTATGAATCAAAGCGCTGGTCGATTGGCCAAAGTCGAAAATGAAAAACTAACCGATTTCATCAATGAATATGATTGTAGGCTGAAACTTCTGTGCCATAGAAAATACGGTAGCAGCCAGCTTTTGTGAATCTCCATTTCACTTGTCAGTTAGATTGGACAATTGCAAATTTATAAACCTGAAGCAGATGAAATAAGGACAAATTTGTCAGTTAGATGAAAGCACCTGCATCCAACGGCCCGAGACGGCCTTCGCTAGGAATGTTTTACCACAACCTGGTGGACCGTACAGCAAAATCCCTGAAAAAAAAGGACTAGATGCTTACAAAACTAACGCATCTAGTGAATGCTGGAAAGGCATACCTTTTGGAGGGCATAAAAGTGAGCTATCTGCCTGAGCAGCAATTTGCAGAGGTAAAATTATCCTATCTTCAAAATCGGTAATGAGCTCATCGCAACCGCCTTAACAATTCTGAATAAGCGAGTTTGCAAACAGTCAAAATATCATACCAACGTCGCTCCACTCATCGCCAACATCCTCTCCACTAATGAACTGAGTACAATACCGCTCATAATTCGTCAAAAAAGTCGCCGGAGTGCGGCGGAGTGTGGCGGAGTGCGGCGCACTTCACCACACTCCGCCGCACTCCGGCGCATTGCGCCACACTTCACCACACTCCGCCGCACTCCGGCGCACTCCGCCGCAGTCCGGCGACTTTTTTGACGAATTATGAGCGGTATTGTATGTAGAGCAGTCTGTTATGGAATTTTCGGAATTTTGCGATATTCAGGGAAATTTTGCACATTCTGTAAGCGGTATTGTACTCGACGTGCTAACAACATTTCTTATATTGTTTTGCTGCTGGTGGCACATTGTAGGATAGAATATCTGCCAAATTACACGACCTTCGAATTTGAAAGACAATTCATGAGAAGGCGATTTTGTAACATCATAATCTGACGAACAATTCAAATAAAGATCTGTGCTAAGCATGGTCCGATAGAGGTGTTCACAAAGTTTTCAACTCACAAAAATTTGCAGACAATTTCCGCAACAGGTAGGGAAAAAGTGCAGGCGAAGTTGCGATCTTGGTTGGTCCAGCTACTTCTATCTCACTTTAGCTTACTGTAAGACTCTCTAGTGCAAAATAAATAGGATTTTCGTAAAGATCGGGACCAAAAACCACTATGAGTGAAGTTTACAGTCAATCCGAGAACTTCAATATTTTAACCAAATCTTACGCCGAGGCCAAGAGTGAGGAGCGAGAGGCCAAGAGCGCGCTATATCAGTGTGTATTGCTTCTAAGAAGCTGGAAAAAATATGGTGTGTATAGGTATAAGAGAGGTGTCTAACATGATTTTTGGGGGAATTACGGAGCAACTTTGGGAGAGCCGATTTTACGGCCTGAGCATGCATGTTGGGGGGCTAATAACTCTGCGAATATTACAGCTACGGGGCTGCGGTTTGTTTTATTCGACAGATCTCTGAAAATATGATTTTTAGAGAGAAGGTCGTAGAAAAACAAATTTCCATTAAAAGTGCCTAATTGACAGCCGAACTTGGGAAATCTGTCAATAAGGGCGATTTCGGCGCCTTATATCTCTAAGAGTTGCAGGGCTGGGGTAATCTCATGTGGCCATTGACATGTAGTTTTGGTAGTTCTATTTTTCTAGGGGTAGCTCGTGCTCACAGCTCCAGCGTAAGAGGCGCTATATAAATGCGATAGTGCATATTTTGAATTTTATCTCCGCGGAGAGTAGGGATGACGAGCTGGGATAGCCATTCTTCAGTTTGTATTCGAGGGGAACACCACATATAATTCGGAGAAAATGTAGGGGCTCCGGCTGTGAGAGCCTATCTATGAACCTTCCCGGACTTAAAAAAAAAAAAAAACTTAGACACGCGATTTTTCCTCTTTCTCCCCCCCCCTTTCTCTCTCCCCCCTTATTTTTCCCCCTCTCTTTATTACCGCTTCGTGTACAGTTTTCCCGCGGCCATCTGGACCTGGTTAGGGGCTGAAAACGGCTAAAAAAGGGGGTAAATCGGGCTAGAAAAACGCGATTTTCGCTTATTTTTTCTTAATTTTTCTTATTTTCTTCAATTTCGATCGTGGCGTGGGGTATAAAGTGGGCGGAGCTTGCTTGGAAAAGTTTCAGCTGTATAAAAGCACTGGAAATGAGCTTATTATGGAGTTTTTCGAATTTTTCGCTTAGTTTTTCAATAATTTTACTGATTTCCGAAATTTCGAAACCTCCAGAATATCGATTTTATCGATTTGTGCCGATTTTTGGGGTTTTGCAACCTTCAAAATATCGATTTTATCAATTTTGCCGATTTTTGGGATATCGATTTTTGTCAATTTTCGGGATTTCGCAACCTTCAAAATGTCGATTTTATCGATTTTTGACAATTTTCGGGATTTCGCAACCTTCAAAATCTCGATTTTATCGATTTTTGACAATTTTCGGGATTTTGCAACCTCCAAAATATCGATTTTCGCCAATTTTCGGGATTTTGCAACCTCCAAAATATCGATTTTCGCCAATTTTTGGGATTTTGCAACCTCCAGAATGTCGATTTTATCGATTTTTGAGGTTTGATAGTTCTCTAAGCTCAAAATATCGATTTTATCGCTGTTTAGCTGTGAACTGTAAGCCCCGCCCACTTTTTGATGTTATTATACACCTAATATATGTATATTTCCTTCCACTCACTTCATATACAATACCGCTCATAATTCGTCAAAAAAGTCGCCGGAGTGCGGCGGAGTGTGGCGGAGTGCGGCGCACTTCACCACACTCCGCCGCACTCCGGCGCACTGCGCCACACTTCACCACACTCCGCCGCACTCCGGCGCACTGCGCCACACTTCACCACACTCCGCCGCACTCCGGCGCACTCCGCCGCAGTCCGGCGACTTTTTTGACGAATTATGAGCGGTATTGTATTTATTTATTATTTATTCAATACGCACAAGGCGTGCCATATTTGAAACAGAGGACGAAAATATTTAGAGCATAAACAGTAATAAGAAAAAACAAAGCATCCACAAAAGTTCAAGTCCAGCACCGTGCTGAGAGTAGAATGGGGTAAAACCTGTTAGACCGTGTACGAATCGGTGCCGATGCTCGGTGGAGTCTGTCTCATGCCCCCTGCTTGCAGCAAAAGTGCTCTTAGACCATTCAACTTAAGCAAGTGTGTTTGAGGGGCCCGGATGTAATAATAAAATTTTGCCCGACTAAGTTCTGGGGAGAGAACAGAACTCCAAATAAAAGATTGTGATGCAAAAAGATGTCAGGTCAGACAAGCTATTCCCAAATAACAACGAAAGGGTGGACCTTACCAGACCCGAACACGTGTGGACGAAGTAAAAATCGGAACAAAAGTAATATAAGGTCCAGCGATCACAAATTTGATACATAAGAAACTATCACTTGAAGACCTTCTGTGCGATGGTTAGGAGTGATAGAGTTGGTCAATTTCATAGTATCGGGGTTGGCCCGAGCAACACGCGAAGCAGCACGTGTAGGAAGGTTGGTAGGCAACGGTGGCACTATACGAGTGATGACAAGAAGTAGTACTCTGGAAGAAAATCACTCAAACTCAACCTCTTGGAGAAAATCAGTCAAATTTAACTTCTTAAGTCTTCGTTTGAAAGTGAAACTATCTGGAGAAGACAAAATTTCTTTAGGTAAACACTGAAGATATTTCGAGGTGCGTGCGAAAAAACTATTTTCTGATAAGGAGCTTAGTTGTTTACGCCTACCATTTAGATGTAAATGAACAGAAAAACCAGTGGTCCTTCCAAGAACTGTTTGAGGAAGTCTCAAAAGTTGCTGTCTTCGACTGCTGCAGCTTGAGTTTTACGCGTTGTTTCGTAACAGAATGTTCTCGTCCTGCTATCAAGCCCTGAGCGATGAATAGCTTTGTCTAGGTGGCGCAGAAGTTTGAAGGCAACTGGTGACTAGCGATTTTACGCTTTTCTGAAAAATTTTGGCCAGAAAACTTCCTCAATCCGACCAAACGCAAAACATCTACACATACCGTAAAAGTGCGCTCTATCATTCTCTGTAGCGTCTCCCTTGACAAGGATTCTTGTTCTACGTGCATCATAGTCCGGTAAACAGTATTCCTCATCACTCATAACAATTTCGGATAGAAAATTTTGTCTCGTACTCTCCGCATATAGCGCCGAAGGTGAATATGCCGAAAGCGTCATTTTTGCTACACAAAAAAATCTGCTTTGAGCAGTCACAAAACAAAGGTCATCAGGTTTATTTCGAAAATTAAACGCAGGTCTTGTAGAGTAGAATTGGCTTTTTCGGAGGGTACACACATTTTGCGGTAAACCTACCGCTTTACCAGGAAACGACGACAAAAATAAAAACGCTACGAACTTATGGAACGACCTAATAGCTTGCATGGCGTCGCTGTTAGAAACGTTGATGTAGAGCGAAGTTACGTTGAAAGACTCTATCATGCATCCCTGGTCAACCCGCGTTTCGCGCAGACGATCTAAAAACATATCTGTGTTGGAAAGATGCGAGGGCACGAACTTCAGCAGCTGAGATAACAGCAAATTCAAAAACCAGGAGATCCTGTCCGTTGGCCCACCAGCATTGCTGATAATTGGTCGACCTTGAACTCCTTAGGACTGTTTGATGCGAAACCGGCAGAAGTTAGCTTGTAGGTCTTTATTAAAGTGTAAAGTACCGGACATATAGGCAAATCACTCTTGAGACGCGTTACGATGCTCTTATGTAGCCGCTCAGATCGTGCAACCTCAACCCAAACCTTGTTCAAGTGGCGGTATAGTCTCCTGAACTTGTTCTCTGATGAACTCTCATACACCGAGTTGTCCGCCAGGTGATTCTCTGTAATAGCCATGTCCAATTCACGTGATAAGACAACAAATTCCCCTCCTTTGTCGCTGACGGATAGTCTGTTGTTGGAATCGCGGCGGTCTCAGACATTCGCCATTGACTCCCGCAGGAGATCCGCCCACAAAATAGGTGGTCGCACCAAAATCCTTTGCACCGGCGGGGTCATCATTTTAGTTTTATCCCTATTTTGTTGCCATTTTGTCCCGAAGCGCGGGCGCATGTTTGAACGAGTACAACTACAAATTATTGAGTTCATTCTGTATTGCTGCCGAAAGCGTCAGTTTCATTTTCAACTTAACTTCCAAGGAAGCTACGCTCTTATTTCCTGAGTCACACATAAGCCAGGCTTACCGTTATTCCTGCACCCTAGGTAAGTCCAGTTTTTTGGCAAATGGGGTTTGCAACTCAAATTGTCACAGTGTTGGGTTCATGTCAACGATGTACAGTATTTGGCCAAGTCCATCGGCCGAAAACTTGTTGAAAGGCTTTGTTTTCGTTGCATTTTCTTAGAAGTACTATCGGAACGAAAAAACCATATTTCTTTCTTATTTGAGTATCCTCTCTTCCCTCTGAGAACTTCAGAATTGTTTTTTACGGTGAATCCGACATCAATTTGACACAATCCTGAATCCTTTTAGGCCTGCGAACCTCCCACCTCCCTCGAAATTCAAAACTACGCCTGTAGGCAGAGGGGAAGAAGGGGAAATTTGATCATCTTAAAGGCCTTCCAGAAGGAACGGTCGATTTCTTAATAAGTAGGTTGATGTGCCTTCAAGTACATTTACTCCAATGACTGATTTTGGTTTCGTGCTTGATGCTTGGGCGTGTACGGCGACGAACTCCTGCGGACCCCAAATGAACATAAGCAAAATCCAAACAGGTATGTATATTCTCGAAAGACCTTCATGTGCACTAGAGTTTACGTGGTGGATGTCCTTAGGAGAAGAGGACGACGCTCGCGAGAAATTTTTCAACAAGCTCTCGGAGGCAAGAGTGGATTGGAGCGGCCGTGCAAGAATAGCAATAGGGAGAGCACTGTGAATTCTCACACTGTTAAACGAAGCGATACCTTTAGCTGTACTTTTGCAGTGCAGACATGCGCACTTACCATTTTGACCCTGAAAGAGACGCGCTTCTTCCGTCAAAGGTGATTCATTATTTTATATGATCACTGGTGTTGATAATTTCTGATTTTCAGAAAAAGCGTGTCGTCATCGAAGGCAGCGAAGGTAACAGTATCACTAAGGAAGTAGCGATTGAGGAGACTGAATGCATTGGAGATGAAATTGAAGAGATTGAAGAAGCCTGATAATATTATTTACACTTTTGTTATTGCTGTATTTGTCTCGTACCTTGGTGTTCCAGCTGTAAACTCCTGAACCTTATGTTCGCTGCTTTCTATGCATTTCATTTCCATTTGATGTAAATCCTGCCGAGAAGATTATGTGGTTTTTGTTAAAGAATTTGTTGACGTTTGACTGGGTTTTACGAGCAGAAAAATAACAGGCGTGAGAATTAGACCCAAAGAGACCAAGGGCACAAGATAAGTGAAAAAGGAGGCGTAAAAGAAGAGATAGAAGACGCAAAAATCCGTTTATAAGGGCGTAGACCGCATGCTCTGAACGCGATCGGGACATTATGATGTCTCCCGCAGGTGTTCCGATTTTGTCCGGAATGTGTCGGTCGGGAAACTTGATTTTGTCGCGCACTTTTGTCCCTAAACAAAATCGGGTGTCCTGATTTTGTCCCGACACCGATTTCGGGAGTCTCGCAGGCATTCCGTAACTACACCTCATTTTGGTTGCGGGACTCAATGGCGAATGTCTGAGGTGAAATCGCGTGAGCTTTGCCCGAGGCCTAAAAGAGCTGCTCCTATATGACCAAGTGTTATAAGCACTCTTTGTTATCTGGTTGTTCAGGCCTGCCTCACTAGTCGAGGCCTGAGACGATTCCATAGTTGACCGTTGAAGGAGTAGCATGATGCAGGTTGTTGATTCCTGTGGTCCTTCTTGCAAATGTGAGGAACGCTTACCTTCGTTGTGCCAGCTGCAATTGAGGCCACCACTGTGATAGTACTGCAAAGCAAAATGATCTCCACCGTGAAATGAGATGTTCTCAGAATGATGTGTTTACCAGTGATAACTGGTCAATTTTGTGCTAACATTGTGATCTTGCAACTGTTAATTCCATCCTGAAGTATCCTCTTCCCTAGTTCAACCGTAAAATGCGTCTGCCCTAGCCAGTTCTTTCGATGTAAGATGGAATCTATCGTGAAGAACTTGTACACCAAACTCTTCCGCTCATCATCATCCGTGGCGATGTCCGTTATTCTCACTGGAGAAAAACCACCACAAATTCTATCTTCTAATCCAATAAACAATAAACAATAAACAATCTGCAGAAGTGCCACCGCAATTCAAGCCATGAAGAGGTCCATGGCTCCACAACCATGTCATCCTTCCGCCGAACTTCGACGAGCCGGAGGACACGTCCACACGAAATTCTCGCGTCGCATCTAGCATCTTACTTTAGAAGAAAGGATTCCCAACCAGTGGATTTCCCTTCGAAAAGGAACGGGAGGATCTTTGGAACCTAGCGTGTTATGCCTCCTGAGTGTGCTGTACAAGCTTGACATGAGAATTACCCTCGCTTGCACTGACTAAAGATCGTCCCACAAACGAGCTGTATTTCTAAAAGGATTCAATTGCATGGATCACAACCGAACGGTTTCGAGGGTTATGGAAGTTTCCTGAAAGTACTGATGTCTCTCGTCCTGACCTTCGTCGACTACAAGAAAGGCTTTGACAGCCTCGAGACCAATACCATCCTGTCAGCGTCAGTCGATCAGGGAGTGGACCCAGCTTACGCAGAGGGAGGCTTAACTTCGTTGTGCCGGGTGCAACTGTATGCGATGTCGCTTGTTGAGACCACTCACTCGTGGTAAAACTATACAGCAAAATGATCCCCACCGTGAAATGAGCTGCTCTCAAAATGTTGTGTTCACCAGTGATAACTGGTTTAGTTTGGGCTGACATGTTGAGCTCTTGTAAGAGCTGTTAGTTTCACTCTGCACTATCTTCTCCTCTAGTCCAACCGTAAGATGCGTCTATCCCAGTCCTAACAAGCATCATCAGCGCCAATGAAAGCTGCAAGGATAAGCCGTCTAGGACAGCCTGAGAGTGGCTGTTTCAAGCGTGGCTGTTGAAACATCAGCCGTTCACGAAAACCTATAGCTGCAAAGCCTGCATCGGATGTATGGCCCTAGGCTTCTGCACGGTTTTCGTGCATGAAGCAAATTGCTGTGCAATCCCAACTTCAACGTTCGTGGCTCACACCACGAAGGCCACCAAGAGTGTGATAAAATGCCCGAAGTACTGCTTAGTGGAAACTTCCGCACAGCCTCCGCAAGCTCGTGTACACTTACTTGCGCAACCGGTCCACACAGAGTGGAATGCAACTTCTTCACACACACACACAAACACAGTTAGCGGTGGTGATATGAAGTAAAATGATCTTTATTGTGAGTTGCTTGTCCTCATGTGGATGATAGGAAATCTGGGCTAGCATTCTTATCAGTGCCAACAAGTGCTAACAATCTAAAGCCAACGAGAAGCTCTCAGTCTGCCTTTGACTACTTCTGACGAGGGGAGGTACATGACACATGGCTCATAGAGTGATGGTGGGAGCAAGCTCTTGTAGTGATGAAGTTGCGGAGCGGCAACGCTCGTGGAAATTACGCACAGAGTAATTCATAATCCGTTCCCCTTGTATGCCCACCCTCCATCATACATGGACTTGGCAACGATTAGATCACTTCCTGACAAGCTGCAGCTGAAATCGGATACCCTCATACAATGTCTACAAGACTACAGCCGGACAGTAGCTGCTTGAAAGGCCTAGGTATTGGGATTTCTTGCGGCTTCTGCACGATTTACCTGCAAGATGCAAACATACTTACCCTGCAGTTGCGATCATTCATGTATGATTGAAGATGCATCTCTTTGGGTTGAAAAAGTAAAGCAGAATGAGCTTTACGGGAGACTGGCTAAGCGCCGATTAAGGTGCGCTTTGATAAGCTGTGAGTGAATTCCTGAGGAAAAGCGCCCAAAATATTGCCCTGTACCTCTATGGCTTCCACGCCTTCCATAGAAGTCGGGATGATACCACAAAATTTCAGGCTGTTCAGATCCTGCGCAGAATGTTAACAGCATGAAGCAAGGGAACTCACGCTCATAAGCAAAGCTTCAGATATACTGAGAGATCACCTCGAGATGGAACGATCGCTCTGAAAATCTGATCGTAGCGAATGTAGAGCAAAATGAGCTTTGCGGAGTGAATCGTTCTTATTTAAATGATGTGATAACGAAAGACACGTGCTGACAAGTAAGATCCCGCCTACTAACAAGGAAATGGTCAGAACCTAACCGAGCCATTCCAAACAAGCTGTACATCGTCGGACTCGCCTTAGAAGGCTGATTTCAAATATATGTATTTCATCACCCAAGCGACTATATGGGAAGACTTATGAGCGTTCAAATATGAGAAATTTTTCGAGTTTCGACAAGCATACTTCCTAATAAACATATTTTTATAACATATTTCCTTGAAAGGCAGACTGATGGCGCGGATTTACAATGGCTATGGTTATTTTGATACAAGGAAGAATTACATTCACCAAAACCCTGAGCAAGTGTTTTTGAAACTTAGTTCATGGAACATGGGCCACAGAACACTTCACAATTAACACATTCAAATGCTTATAACTGCTCCCAGATAGTCGCTTTGCAGATAATAAACATTAAAACGAATCATGATATATAGCATTTTGGCATGGCTGGGTTAAGTTCTGACCATTTCCGGCTAAGCAAAGATTTTCAGACGTCTAGACTACTAAGTGTTCCTCTTTCAATCATAATTATGGTACATGGAAGACAGCAAGGAAAACATTCCTAATCGCACGCCAGAAGTGATTATGAGGAATTACTGAGTAGTAGCGTATGCTCATTTAGACTTGCAGAAAAAGAGCCACTATTTGTCCTTCATTGAATATTACACTGTAATAATTGAGACGAAATGCACAATCAAAATTCATAAAACTCTCGCTCAAATATGCTGTCGATAGGGTAGACTGGCACTTGCGTCAAATCTGTGGTTTACCTGCTCCCTCACTCAGGCCTTTCAATCAAACCCTGCACTGAAAAATCTTCCCGCTTTCTTGTCATATCGAGGACTATTTAATTGTTCGAATGTCTTGTATCAAACATATTTGAATAATGCGGAAACTGCGGATGCCCGTTTCAGCATCCTCAAACAAGTGAACACCGAAAAAATTACCAAAACACTCATCGTAGCCTTTCTTTCCTTTGCCAATCACTCTTGACAAGATGATTTGCCTCGGCCATATAATTACCAAAACACAATGATCTGATCTTATGCAACTATATGTGATTTTTAAAATTCCCAGACTTCTACAGAGTCAATCGTCAGACAGAAAAATTTTTTTTGCAAGCAACATTTTTTGTTTATTTTTTCAACTGTCCTTCCAAAGATTTTCCCAATTAGATTATTAGGTGGGTCCGAAAGTTCTGTCGTTTCATTTTTAGAAATTTGTAACTTCGCGAAATTTCAACGCATTTGCTTGCATGTAATTTCATTAGAAAGATTAGGTCTTCCGCTTTCAAATGCTTTTTCGTAGAGCTTCTGTTTCACACTGAGTGCAGAAATAAAAATGGAAAATTAAGACCATGTAAACTTTGACCATTTTAAGTTAGGTCACCAAAAATCTGGAATGCTGCAGAAAAATCTGAAATCGTCAGTACGTATGTTTTTTCGCCTCCTCTTTGTAGCTGTGAAAAGTTTGTGCTATTTGGACGTCTCTGTGAAAAGTTATGATTTTCGCGAAAATTGACAAATTAAATAATTTTGGCGCTTTCTATAGTAAACTCGATATTCATAACTTCTCACAGAGACGTCCAAACAGCACAAACTCTTCACAGCTGCAAAGAAAAAATCAAAAAACAAACGTATTGAAGATTTCAGATTTTTCTGCAGCAATCCACATTTTTGGTGACCTAACTCAAAATGGTCAAAGTTTATATGGTCTTAGTTTTTCATTTTTATCTCCGCACCACTTAGTGTGAAACAGAGGCTTCACAAAAAAGCGTTTGAAAGAGAAAGGATTATTCTTTCTACTAAAATTACAAACAAGCAAATCCGTTGAAATTTCGCGAAGTTACAAATTTTTGAAAATGAAACGACAGAACTTTCGGACCCACCTAATATTAAGAAAAATGGACCTACACTATCGCGGCTTTTGAAATTTGAGGTTAGATGATGCGAACTCGTAGTGATAATCACGAGTTATTTTTGCAGTGCCTACAAAGGCCAGAGAAAAAATATTTGTCAGAAAGAGAAGTTGCATCAAATGACACATGTTGTTTACGGTTAAGCTCTTATGATATTTGGATAAACCGAAAATACATCAGCATAACCTTTTTGGAGAAAGTAGTCTTTCGAAAGAACGCTAAAGAAGTACCGGATTGAAAAAAGGTTCGCTAGCTCTAATCCTCAACAAATTTTTTGGGAAAAAAAGGAAAATGATGTATCAACAGGAGTTAAACAAGTTAAAACGATGAGAGTTGTAATTTCTGGAGTAATTTTGATGTTAGTTAAGTGAAAAGTGTGTTTTCCGAAAGAAGAGGTCATGGACTATCCATCGGAATATAAATTACGATTTATTCACATGAAACGACGCCGCTAGTAAACACTATGGATAATCTCACTACTTCAACTAATCGAACTATCACAGTCCTTTGTTGTAATAAACAACAGTCGGAGGAATTTTCAAATCCTTGATATGATTTCTCATTTCTGGCTCCAAAGAGTTCACCTAAAGTAAATAGACTATCCAATAGGTCCTAATTATAGGCGAATCTTTACCGAGATTGACATGCGCTGCGGGAAGATTGCACAGCACAGAGGTGTAGAGAAAGTGAGGAAAAATCCTGCCAGAAGTGTCTGGATTGGGGTTGCCATCCATTGCTGCAAAAAATGCATTTTTGATATTTTCAGGGTTTGTAGAAATAGACTTGCCTTATATGACCGCATCCTAACTATATACTGGAAAACTACTGGTGTGAACACTAAAAAAAACGGGGATAAACCTAATGTGAGGTAAATCTAATGGACTTACCCATACTAGGCACTGCCATACCGATCCGGCTGACAGTCACTTGTGGTATCGCATAGTAGGGCACCTTTTTCGAGTAGCCTAATTCTGTTCCTTTATCATCCTCAACGGGAATTCCCACTGAGAATTCGCTAAAAACCATCAAGATGATTTCAATAAGCGGAGATTCCAGAGAATGGCGAATATCGAACGCACTTGCTTCGCATCAAGGGAATGTTTATAGCATTTGCACCAGCCACAGCTAAGAAGGGAACCAATGCTCCCACTAATCGCGGTACGTTCTAGACAAAAAGTGAGTTTTCATTTGAGGTTGATCTCAAATAAAAAAAAGTAGATTTGGGAGGTAGATTGTAAGGTGAGCCAACATTTAACTTTACTATAAGTTATTATTTTATAATTATATCCAATGTATCTACAGCCCGTGTCAATTCATATCTCCTTCTTCTACACGAGCCGCCACGCCAGGGGTTAGCCCCACGAACGTGCGCGTATGACTTTGCATTTGAACTAGCCTCCTTGATTGAAGACTCCGCTTTTCGACTACTTATATTCGATGGAGAGAGTAGGTAACTGACACATACTTTGAACCATTTAAAATATAATTATTTGAAGTTCTTTGAGGTGTTTGATTGTTTGAATTTTTAAAAAGCATTGTGAGGTAAATATGAGATGATCAAAGATGTGAAGATATATTAACTTCTCACCTTTCTTTTCGCCAACCAAAAGTTTGCTCCGAGAGCTGTAGCCATGGCACCTGCAGTGGCACAGACGTACGAAACAAGCAATCGTTCCTTTGATATCTCAAACAATGATCATCAGTAACACTGTGCCGCATATTCTCCATTTGAAACATCAGCTGCTCACTGGTTTGGGCCCACTTCTGTTCGTGTAGTTGACGACAGCGTTGAATGTCTGGTTAATCCATTGCCAAAATATCACGTGCGGTGTCCTTGAACGGGATATGTCACATGATGACAAAGCATTGAAAAAAATTTCTCGAAAATTGCTACTGTACTGGCGGCTAGGAATCGTAAGACATACTGCACATTCTTACTTTTGATAGAACGTTAGCATTCCACCTGTGATTGTCATATTACAAGGAACCTAAAAGGATAACTGACACGACTCAGAAAATCTCAACAACTCAGAAAACATCTCCAAACCTGCGCACTCATTCTTCCAATAAGAATCATTTTTTCTCCAGTGTCTGGGTGGAAAGCCGAATCGTAGATCTGCTTTGCTCGCCACAATTGATCTACCGTAAGATCTTTGTCATAGATTCCTTTTCTGAAAGGCAAAATCGTGATAGGGATGTAGCCAAGAAAATCTCAGTCACTCACCTGTAATCCATAACAATTTTTCTGCTCTTCTCAAGTGTCGCATTGCTCAGCAAAAGATTCAACGGATTTGTCGTAGTGAAAAAATGTTTTGCTCGACCTCAAATAGCATAAAGATGTAAGCTTAGCACTCTACTATCCTATTTTGACAAAAAAAGCACTGCATACTTCCACAAAAAAACAACGGGAAAATCTGTAGAAGTTGTTATTTCAACAAGATAATCATGAAGAAGTTTGTCAGATAAGTTTCTTCAAATTCCTCGTAGCGCAAAAAATGAGGACTTTCGGATTGAAGTTTCAAGATGAATCTTAGATTTAATGACGAAAAAGGGTACTCGATGACAACGTCCGTTTAATGTTCTTGTCAAGTACTTTTCCTCCGTCAAGGAATTAATGGATGCAAAGTGTTATCCTTTAGAAATTTGATAATCCATAGAAAATACTGCACTTGCGACCAACTTTAGCCGAACAAATAGAATTAAGTCAGGGTTGTAGTACAGGGGAGGAATGAGAATGTTTGTAGGCGAACTACTATTAGAGCCGCACAACAACCGGGGATATCATTTATTTTCAAAATGCGTTCGAATCATCGCAACTGATTTGGAAAAAAATTAAGTCCCCACTCCAGTGCAAAAATGTTGGGAAGATTTCGAGAATATCAACAGGAGATATTCGACAGATGAAAAACCTGTTGAATTCTGAGACAATGCTTATATGACTCACCTTCAAATGTGTTTTGATCCCAGCGAGGTTTGGATATGTCAGGTTTCACCTCAAGTGATGAAACCAGTTCGCTCATCCTGCAAACACCTAATATAGGAACACTTAGTGCGAATATCTGTAAACTGTTTATCGACGTTACAGGCAAAGCAGCAGTCCAAAATACTGGACCTATTTGCAGATGGAACTCTCCTCCATTGAATGATAATCAGTTTAATTGGCAAAAAAGGTGAAGGAAGGAAGGAATCCGTTGAAGGTAACTACAGCAATGAAGATCTGCACTGGGTCAGAGACATTCATTGGGGAGATAAGAAGAGAAGAACAAAAAGTATCGATACTTCAGAAAAGACAGATAAGGGATACTACCACTTCACTTTCTGCCAAAATGTTGTAGTGTTTTGATGTACTGACAGGCAAAAAAAGTGCAGTCACAGCGCTAATATACAACGAAAAAAAATAAAAATACAAAAAATAAAAACTATCTAATTTATCATTCATTTATCATTTGTCATCTTTCATGGATCATGCGTACCAGCTGGCTTACCCGGCTCCGCTCCGCCCTGTAAACACTGTAATAAAGGTTCTATCCCTATACCTCAACCTTTCCCTGTGCACACTTCTACATGCCAATTCCATATTCCCGCTTCGTTTTGTAATCGGCAAGCCCACATACCCCATGTGCCTATTCCCACCTCCGTAGCTCAAACTTTGCAAAAAAATCGGTAAAATCGATAAAATTCCCAGAAATTTTCGAAAACTAATATTGTATTCGTAACAGCATGCTCACTTGCCCCCCCCCCCTCCCCTCCTGTGCCAATTCCCAGCCCCATAGCTCAAACTTTGCAAAAAATCGATAAAATCAATAAAAGTAATTGACAAGACCAAAAACTAATATGGTACTCGTGATCACCGTGCTCACATAACCCTTGTGCCAACTCCCAGCCTCGTAAACTAAACTTTGCAAAAAAAAAAACGATAAAATCGATTTCGATCGATAACGAAAGGTAGCCTACGACACGCTCCCCGTCTATTCCGCACAGATGTGCATACATACAGACAGACATGTAGACAAAAAAACATTCAGCTTTATATTTAAGAAAGACAATTAGTAAACGTCTCGTTCTGAACTAACCGTTGAACAAAACCTTCAGAAATTGAAGTTTGGAACAAGTGGATAATCATGAGTGATTGCCAAAGTGCCATATACTGATCTACCACCCAAAAGATTTTATTGGTTTCTAAAATGTCGTAGTTGTTTCCGTACGATTCGCGAATACTCTTGCAAATGAAGGTTTCGCTGTTCGAAAGGTCAGTTCGAACAGAGACAGCGAATTGTTATAAAAACCTACCTTTTCAAGTCTACACATTTCTACACATTCTCTATTGTAAGGTAAAAAGATTAAGTCAGGTTCAAAAGCTGCGCTTGCTACCACGTCCTTCGCTGATCAACTGTTATAGAGAAAACAAGGAAAAGTCGTTTGTAAACATTGCCAGGCAGAGCAGCATCCCATTATAAACTATCAAAATCAAAATGAAGATGAGCCGAGCAGTCCAAGCAATTAGCTCAACAGATTCTACTCCTTTTTAACTTTGAGATCAAATGGCCAGATAAGAGGGTAAGACATCTGTTGTTGGAGTATAGTAGCTGACAACACATACGACGTCACCGATATTCGCATAATGCGGTCTTTGTAAATAAATCATTTTTTCATAAGCATTGCATCACTATGAGCGCAGATACTCCAAATAAATAGTGCGTGTGCAAGCAAGTTCAGTAACCGCAGTACAAAATGATGCAATCTTCAAACAAGTGCGAAATTTTGAAAAACCCGTGATGAGTCTATCATTTTTCACATAGGTAAGCCCAAGAGATACCAGAAATTTTAACACGTTGACGACCGTGTGTATCCGCGCGTATGCACGTCCTGACCACCTTGTAGCAATTTCGTGCATCAATTTATCATGTGTAAACTAAAATTTCTCAGGTAACTTCTATGCACTAATAACACTGGTGACCTGGTTGTCATATAGAACACACGGCATTGCGGTAGCTGTTAAACAGTCCAAACCGCAGCCGTAGATCATCAGTCCATTTTAAGGTGGTCAAAAATGGCTCGGTCGTCAACGTGTTAAAAGTAATTTGGTTCAAACAGCGCAATTGACTACGTGACCATTGAAGGAGCACATTCCAGGCAAAGACCTTTGCTATACATCAATAGTGAGACTCGCTCTCGAAGAAACTTTCGTGACAAACATGAGTCAACTGTGAAGGCAACGCTGACATATTTTTTCTATGGACAAAACAATTGCGAGTATCTTATTCTTCAAGTGAACCTCATTCAGCGGAGGTAAATGCTGGTACCAAAGAGCCAATCAACCTAATGGAACACACTAATGCTTCGGATATCATCCTTGACGAGGTTGACTATGAAGTCGTCTTTGCTGGGGCGGCTTGCCTCAATACAGGGTGTCCCAAAAAACTGCCCTATTGGATTTTAGCTCTGAAAGGGAACTAAATAAGCTCTCACGCCACGCTGCTGATTTCAACCCCCCCCCTCCCCGCCCCCCCCCCCCCTCCCTCCAGACTTCACCGAAATGTTTTTTCATAAGTTATGCCATGTATAAACCACTTTTTCCATGTTCAATTCGTCAGTTATCTTACAAGGATACTCGATCGCAGTGACGATTGCGTAAGCGGTGTATACAGAGTATACCGTCCCCAAACGGTGTTCTCTGAACCGCACTCCAAGCCTGCTATGACGCCATTCTGGAAGAGCTATGGAGGATTTCTGGTGCTGCAGGCGCATTCAAGTACTACGCTTGCCTCATCATGCCGTAGTCGACTGGTACAGTGGATAGTGGCTTGGACTGCTGAGCTGGATGTCGGTTCGATTCCATTCGGAGACAGCTGATATTGCCTTTTTGCAGAACCTTCATAGCTCTTTTACAGTAACGTCATAGCAGATATGGAGTGAGGTTTAGGGATCACCACCTGGGGACGGTATACGCGGTATACACCGCTTACCCAATCATCACTGCGATCCTTCCCTTGTTAGAACAACTACCTTTAGCTTGTATATAAACTTGAAAGCTGGGCTAGCGAAAATTACAGTTGCGAGCTTTCCATCCCCCTTGACCATCGCTGATTCCAGAGATGTGCTTAACTCATGAAGAGCTTTTTATGGCGTTTCCCGGTCTTGGAAATTGCTGAAGGGGCTTCCGCCAACTGCGTCGCGACTGGCTGCCTGAGCCGATCAGCCAATTGCCGGCAAAATAGATGGGTTACAGTCTTCTGCAGCCAGTCGCTGTTAATCGCTGTTTTCTAGCGAGATTCTCTCCTCCAGCTCCCTCAACAGTCCCCAAGGCAGGGAAACGCCAGAAAAGCCCTTTTTCACTCAAGCATAATCCTGGACTCAGCGGATCCAAAAGACCATGTGGTTGTGAAAAGCTCGCAGTCGCAATTTTCCCAAGACTTTCCCAAGATTTGAGCTGGAATTTATCTTTAAACACTGTCGCATAGCCTGTCTTTGCACTTAGTCTACAAGCCTTATTATGTGGAACATGTCTACCAGCTGTCTAGAGCATACTGTAAGCGCTTTCTCCTTTCTTCCCTCTCTTTCTCCTCCACCCGGTCCTTGCGCAAAGATCCAAATTTGGAAGCTTTGCAGTACCATGACCAAGACCAAGAAAGGTATCTTCCCGGAAGTAGATCTCGATAATTTGCTGAATGCATCTATGTCGTGCACAATGCATATCGCCGCTATCAGGAAGCGCTGGCAGTCTCCGGAGAATCAAAACAAAAGAAGGCTGTGACGCAGAACGCAAAAGTCGTCGTCGCTCTGTTCCTGCATTGCCATCCTAATCATAGCCCGAACCAATCTAGTTGGCGCAGTGCCATAGATTAACGTTTGGATCTAAGCCTGATCTAAGAATGCCACACATGAGGTTACCCAAAAAAACGTGGATACAAATGAGCTACGGTTATAGTGATGTATGCACTATAAACAATGAGATTGCAAAAGATTTTAATTTGTTTATCCAAGACATCCGACAAAATCCCATCATGGAATCGCGGCGCGATACCTCACACAGCTCATAGTCTATATCAACTGCGGTGTGCCCATGCCGCTGCGAATGCGAAGCGCGACTGCTTAGCGTGCTGACGCCCTATCAAAAGGCCAATTTGAGGGCTCTAACCAGACCTCTGCCAGCAGAACGGGAATAAACAGCGATTATGACAGACTGTACAATTTCCAGCTGGCTGAGAATATATGGTCCTGGATAACATTTGAATACAGCTTGCAGTGCCACCACTGAAAAATAAGTTGAAGGCATCGTCCACCCTGTTCTTAACTTCCATGTTTTTTCGTCTCAAGGCCTTCTCATGTCGCTGATTTCAATATGGAATCGAGAATCCGCGAAAACCCGGACAATCACCATTCCGGAGAACCCACAGGCCGGCTTTCCAGAACGGAGATTGGCTGGGGGCGCATGGATGGGCGGGCATGGATAGGGGGGGGCGGTGCCGTCTGGAGGTCCTCGTGCATCTTCGTTAATCCGGAGCGATTTTCTCGCTTCCAAAGCGATATTTTGCGTTGCGACTTGGGCACTGGCTTGATAGGGGCTCTACTATTATATGCTGCCAAGAACTCAAGATCCTCAACTTAGGGTGGAAGGTCCTTTAAGGGATTTCTAGTTCAAAATATCAGTACCCCTATGGCAATGGCGTTCAAAGAATCTTTCTTTACAATGGTCATTCAGATTTAAAAAGTCTGAAAGATTATTTACATAGTTCACAGACGGAAGCAAGACACTTTCGCGACATTTCAACTCAAGTAAGCTACTCTCGAGAATTTCGCAACCTCATCTCGGTACTTCTTCCCCCACAGTTTATTAAAGCCAAGATGTCCTCCACAAAAAGCTAAAAGAGGGTTTTGATCTAAAAGGTGAGTGAATTAGGAATTAGGATCGCGCCACGCCCCTAGGCTCAAGACGACTGATTACATCAAATTTTACGCCGTCTACAAGACCGAATCTCACTCTCGTTCTATTTACTGGGCCGTCATATCAACGCTGCGATGAGCTCTCTAGTCAGAAAAGTGCTAGTTTGTCAGAAGACGTGGAGCAAAATATATTCGTTGATTCAACACAGACAGAGCGTGCCTCAAAATCTCAAAAAAAAAGAGTTAAAATTCAAACTCAAAAAGAAAATCAGCGAATCGGTCAAATATACGGAGTTGAGATTCAGATATGAATTAGTGCGACTCTTTCCAGCCAAATGTCAGATCACAC